CATTGAATCGAATTCAGGGCTTTCATACTTTCTTCAATCCATGAAATTATAAAGACCTCATTTTCAACATGCTTTGTCAACAATGGTGCGGTCCCAGTGGCGACCTCGGGAGCTTGACCGACTCGACCTCGCAAACTACACGACCTGTCTCGACCTTGGGGGTATCTCGACCTCACAACGACCTCAAAACGACCTCACAACGACCTCGTAAGGACCTTTACGACCTTAGTTCGATTTTAGTTCGACTTCAGTCGACCTATCTCGACTCAGGTCGGCCAAGTTGAGAAGACCTATACTCGACCAGCTAGACCTGTATATCGACCTAATTTCGAATTAATTTCGTCCTCAGTCGACCGGATCTGGCATCTGCTTAAACTGGTGGATGACCTGGAGAATGCCAACCCTCCTCCAAAGCCAAAGCCTCAGCCGTAAGCACATCAATCCCATCCTTGACGCCTTCAAAGCTGAGTATCGGTCAGATGAGTGGGATCAGAGCAGATGGAATACTGTAGCCCGTGCTTTTAAGGAAAGGTGGCAATTTCCATATTGCACCGGTGCGTTTGATGGCAAGCACATGCGCATCAAGAAACGCCTCACAAAAGCGGGTCCCTCTTCTACTACTACAAGAACTTCTTCTCTATCGTATTGCTGGCACTCGCGGATGCCGACTACAAGTTCCCGTGGGTCAACGTCGGGGCCAAGGGATCAGCATCAGACGTTGATGATCTTCAACCATTCACGAGATCGGATGGAGGGCGATGGCTTTGTATTCCCCGTATATGGTGTGCCATACTTCATCATCGGCGACGATGCCTTTCCACTCCGCCCTTGGATGATGAAGTCCTTTTCCATGCGTCAGATGGACCCCGATCAGCAGATCTTCTACTGCAGGTAATTATTCTTTTCCATAAATACCTAAATCAAATTATAACTTAGTATCTTTGGGTGTATGCAATATTATATCAAAGGTTTTGAATTTTGAATGCATTTGACTTAAAAATGTTTAATTTGTGACTTTTGCAGACTGTCTCGGGCCAGACGAGTGGTGGAGAATACCTTCGGGATTCTGGCTATGAGGTTCCAGATCCTCCTCGGCTCCCTAAATAGCACTGCAGACAGAGCTGATCAGATAACCCTGGCCTGCGTCACTTTACACAACATGCTGAGAACGAGGAACCGAAACAGTCAGATGAACCTCATAGACCAGGGGAATGAGGACTGTTCACTCACCCCAGGCGAGTGGCGCTCCCACACACAGCTGCTTGATGGGGATAACCGGGGTGCGAGGAACGTTACCCCACTAAATGGCGCCAACTAAAGAAACTATTTTAAGGGGCTGTTCATTGGCAAGAGAAGATGATATCCAAATGACTTTAAAGTGTACTCTATTATTTAGGACTACTTCATTTACAAAGGAACTCGTTTGTTTTTTATTTACACTATTTACAATTGAAATACACGATGCCATTTAGAAAATGGTCAAATGTAACATATGTTATATTTGTGGGAGCCGCGGTGGCTGAGCGGTCTAGGCGTCTGACTTTTGTGTGCTGGCGATTAGGTACCTGACTCTGAGGGTGTGGGTTCGAATCCCGGATGGGACTCAACCCAAAACGTACTAGACTAAACTTTGTACTTTTACTAAATATAACATATGTTATATTTTACAATTGGTAAATGCGGGGAACAAAACAAACTTTATTACAATCGTACAAGATGTATTTACATTTACACTTAGCAATGGATGGAAAATACAAAAAATATCAGATGAAAAAAGCTTTTAAATCTTTTATTGGAAACTTATTTAAATAATCTGATGGTAACATTTCACATTAGTATAAAGTGCTCATGACAATATATGAGTATCAAGTTCTACTTGTCAGTTTCACAGTCCTTGCTGAGAGTCCTGAACATGTGACTGATTCTCTGAGGTGTGTGTAGGGTCCAAGAGACCGCTTAGCAGGCACCGAGATATACCTGCTGCAGCACTGGAATCAAAGCGGGGGAAGATACCAGCCTGTTCCGCTGCTTTGCGGCGTGTTGGAGAGGGTGGTGTGCTCAGGGTGGACCTCTGGGTGGCAGCAGGTTGGTGTGGAGATGATGTGCTACCACTGGCTGCCGTTTGGCTTTTATGAAGCAATTGGGAAGATGGCGACCATTCGTGCGGTCGGCGCGGACTTGATTAGGTCTAGTTGGGGTCGAGATATAGGTTGACTTCAGGTCGAGTCGGTCGACTCCAGGTTGAGTCCAAGTCGAGTCCATTCGAGTTGGTCGACTCAAGGTCGAGTCGAGGCCGAGTACAGATCGACTCTAAGACGAACACAGATCGGCACGTCAGGCCAGCTCGACCTTCAACTCGACCAACTCGACCTAATGTCGACCTAAACTCGACCTTTTTCGACCTACCTCGACCTATTCTCGACCTGGTCTAAACCCCATCTCGGACGGAAGGTCGAGGAGGAAGTCTTAGTAGACCTGATTCGATCTGACACGACCTGACTCGACGTAACTAGTTCTGAAACTCGACCAACTCGATTCCCCAACTCGACCCCTAAGGTCGAGTAGCGTAAGGTCGGCACTGGGACCGCACGATATCAATATGTACTTGCTTTCAGATACAAGTACAATGATTTGATCGTCATTTTACTGATATTTGAAGTATGAATGTGTGTACCTGAGAGCAGCATATAGTGTCTTTAATGCTATGCTCTCGAATTTGAATATAATGTTATTGATATGTCCAATGATGATTCTCATGGCCCTCATACGACGAACTGATATTTTGTATTAAATGACGTGTATACAGGAATTGAATTGTGTGACGCAGGGCGATAAGATACAGGAAGAGAGTGATAACGTTTAACAGAGTGAGTAGAGGCATAGAGCAAATGTTTATGAAAGATCAACTGTTTTCATATTGCACCAATCAAAATTCAGACTAATGTCTTTTCGGCCATCTTCGAAGTAAATAATATAGCTTCAGTTCTTTTCTTGTGTTTTCATTGGGACTATTCCATTATAATGTGTAGGTAACGGTTATATGCCAAAACTTCCACATCCCAATACTACCACACACTGTTAAAAACAACAACGCCTCATCACCCCTCTTTAGGTAATAGGATAGCCCGGGAAGTGCACTGAACTGGAAACAACGGATAATAATACTTCACCTGACTTAGGAGAGTAGAGATTTTAGTAGAGAAGAAACCATGTAGTTAATAAATCTGAAATATATATCATATAAATACGTGCATACTTCATGTAGGCAAAAAGTGTAAAGTTTGTTTTCTTTTATTTTACCTTGAGATGTTGTTGATTACGTTCATAGTATTCTGAATATACAAAAGATTAATTATGCAAGCTTAACGTATATTTAATGTACATGTATATTAAAATATGTAGTTTTACAAAATAACATGGCCAATGAGTTTTGAATTTTTATATTTATTGCTTAAAAGGGACCAACAAGCCAAATATAATTCCTTTCAATTCTGATTTGCAAATGTAAAGTGATATGTAGCCAACAAAAAATTCTAAAATGAGAATGTGAATTGTATTTCGCTTACTTGAAGGTCTACTACCAAACATACCCGCACTACCAAATCCAGGCTTAACACATAAATCAATTATAATTAAATAAGGTAATTGATAATGTTATGGTATGGTCATTGGCATAATTGTTATGGTAATGACACAATAACGGTAGTGACAATTTTAATAGTAGCCAGTGTTATATGCTTTTACTTTAAAAGATGATTTAGTCAACCAGAAATGTTGTTGAAAGCTGTGGAAGTTTTGGGATGTGGAAGTTTTGGGAGGATACCCGTAGGTAACAGGTAGTAGCTAATCTGTTCACTGAACCGTAAATGTTGTTGTTTTTAAGGCGTCTGCGAACTGCCTGTCTGCGTAATGGGAGGACACCGTCAACTGTCCACCTTGGCAGAATTTCCAGATTGCAGATGGTGCTTGATGACTAATGCAATGTGATTATATGTCTGTGGTATTTATCTCGATATGTAATCATGTAACAACGTCATGTCTTTACCTATAGGATATTAAAACATATTTGATTCTTTTAATGTGAACGTCACATTGATATTATAAAAATCTAAAACTTTACGTTATTAGGTAAATAGGTATATACTGTTTTAAACTTTAGTACACAACAAATGCTTATATGTATTTTAATGGCCCCACAGTTTCTTTAGGGAATAAATTGCGTGATGCGGCGATTACTATACTCCCCTTTTGCTGTAACCCCTTGAAATAATGTCTTCTGAAACATATTCCACTATTTGTCTAGATTTACGTTTTGAGAGGACCGATTCATTAATATTCATGATTGCAAACAGAGTGTTCTGTTGTGCCGTTTGCTGTATCGTTTTCTTCCATAAGGTATTTTTACGCCTACTCACAGGGGTTCGGATCGTTGTTTGCACAATAATTTGAAAAAATAAAAATCTAGACTTTTACAATCATATATTGTTTATCATATCAAATATTTTGTGATTAACATACATTTCAAACTTGAACGAAATCCGTGAAGGAATAAAGATTTTAGAAAAGTCTACCGCTACACTATAGAAATAGAGATTTTAGAAAATTCTACCGCTAAACTATATAAAATTTAAAAAACAATACATGATTGCAAAAGTCTAGATTTTTATTTTCTAAAAATATTGTCCAAACAGTGATTCGAACCCCTGTGCTAATACTCGCTATGTTTACATTTGGTACCAACTGAAATTTGTAAACTCGTATCAGGGAGAATAGAAGATTGTGATTCGTTGATACGAGCAGGGATAATCTACAGCAATTTCAATTATATGTATTCTTTTTTGATATTTGCATACAATGGACAAGCAAGCACGAAATGGCTTTCATCTTCTACCTCTGATAAGTACAATATTCATACAAAAGTGGCCCTCTTCATTATGTTTACATAATAAGTTAAATCATTACTCAGTTTTAAATCATTCTCGTTGTGTTTGTCTTCAAGCGTGTTTGGCGAGGGGTCTGGTGGCCCAATTCGTTCTCAGTGATGGAAAGAGCGGATCCCCAATATCCATCTACTGGTCGTGGGGATGGGGTTGCCATGGGGATATACGTGTCGGAGGAGTTTCCGGTAATTATATTTGAACCTGCAGCTCTTCAAGACATGTCAAGTGGCGTCCGATTGCCTGTTGTCGTATTCACCTATACCAGAAGCGTTATCCCCAAACATCCAGAAACATCTCATCTTGTTTGTCTGATTAACGCCGCATTCAGCAATATTTTAAAGATGACCAGCTATCCGGGTGAAGGAGTCTGGACCAGACAATCCAGTGATTGACACAGTGATTTCCGATGTAAACGGAACTTACAAAGTCATAAGACTTTATTTAAGTTGTTTATTAATCCCTAAAAATCAAGTCAAGATCATATGTATGATGACGTTCACAACAGCAACGGTGACGATGTCAACAATAAATGTCTTTCAAAGGTGGCCACCTAAATCCCGCCGTTACCGTAGCCCAAGCTTTCCTTGGGAGGATTCAGTTGAAGAAGGTGCCTGTCTTCATCCTGGCCCAGTACCTAGGGGCCTTCGTCGCTTCCGTCCTGGTATATCTGGTGTATATAGGTGAGTGTGTCCTGGTATATCTGGTGTATATAGGTGAGTGTGTCCTGGTATATCTGGTGTATATAGGTGAGTGTGTCCTGGTATATCTGGTGTATAAAGGTGAGTGTGTCCTGGTATATCTGGTGTATATATAGGTGAGTGTGTCCTGGGTATATAGGTGGTGTATATAGGTGAGGTGTGTCCTGGTATATCTGGTGTATATAGGTGAGTGTGTCCTGGTGTATCTGGTGTATATAGGTGAGTGTGTTCTGGTGAATATCTGGTGTATATAGGTGAGTGTGTCCTGGTATATCTGGTGTATATAGGTGAGTGTGTGTCCTGGTATATCTGGTGTATATAGGTGAGTGTGTCCTGGTATATCTAGGGTGTATATAGGTGATTGTGGACTGGTATATCTGGTGTATATAGGTGAGTGTGTCCTGGTATATCTGGTGTATATCTGGTGTATATAGGTGGTGTGTGTCCTGTGTGTCCTGGTGTGTATATAGGTGAGTGTGTCCTGGTATATCTGGTGTATATAGTGTGAGTGTGTCCTGGTATATCTGGTGTATATAGTGTGGTGAGTGTGTCCTGGGTGTATATGGTGTATATGTGAGTGTGTTCTGGTGTATCTGTGTCCTGGTGTATCTATATAGGTGAGTGTGTCCTGGTATATCTGGTGTATATGGTGTATATGTGAGTGTGTTCTGGTGTATCTGGTGTATATAGGTGAGTGTGTCCTGGTGTATCTAGGGTGTATATAGGTGAGTGTGTCCTGGTGTATCTGGTGTATATAGGTGAGTGTGTCCTGGTGTATATCGGTGTATATAGGTGATCTAGTGGTGTATATAGGTCTGTGTGTCCTGGTGTATCTGGTGTATGTAGTCCTGGTGTGTGTCCTGGTATAGGTAGTGTGTCCTGGTGTATCTGGTGTATATATCTGGTGTAGGTGATGTGTCTGCGTCCTGGTGTATATAGGTATATCTGGTGGTGTATATAGGTGAGTGTGTCCTGGTGGTAAGTGAGGTGTCCTATATATCTGGTGTATATAGGTAGGTCTGCGTGTCCTGTATATAGGTATCCTGGTGTATATAGGTCTGTGTGTCCTGGTGTATATCTGGTGTATATAGGTGAGTGGTGTGTATCTGGTGTATATAGGTGAGTGTGTCCTGGTATATCTGGTGTATATAGGTCAGTGTGTTCTGGTATATCTGGTGTATATAGGTCTGTGTGTCCTGGTGTATATAAGTGAGTGTGTCCTGGTATATCTGGTGTATATAGGTGAGTGTGTCCTGGTATACCCGGTGTATATATCTGGTGTATATAGGTGAGTGTGTCCTGGTATACCCGGTGTATATAGGTGAGTGTAGTAGAATAGCCCATCCACTTGACAAAAACTTCCTTCTGGCCAGATCTCTTCCAACCTTGTTATCGCAGACGCTCTACACCACTACGACGATGGAGTCAGGGCTGTAGTCGGCAACGCCTCAACTGCCGGTATCTGGGCCACCTACCCGCAGCCTTTCGTCTCTACAGCAAACGGATTTGGTGACCAGGTGAGATAACAAATGTATTCAACCTGTCACGTTAAATTAACATTGTCGTTCTGTTAGATAATGTTTTTTGATTGCAGCCAAAGTTCGTGAGCGAGGATGGTTCAATGTTGCTTTGAACAGCATTTCAGCTATGTCAGGCGGTATCAGCCAAATATGGGCGGAAAGATCGAAGTGATGCAGGTCCCACGTGTATGGTGCTGACAATGTTGTGTTTCGAACCCACGGTCACAAGTTCCTGTCATGCCCAAGGGAAACAACTCTGCATAGCGAATTACAGCGCATGAGGTGACAGGGTTATATGTGTCTGATTGGATTCCAAATAGACTGGCGATGTAGCTTGACGGTACCCGCTGTGAACACTGTAATAAATTCAACCACAGCTTTGACCATGTGAAGTATATGTTAGACATTCTTTGCAAAAAGATGAAAAGTGAAACCAATATTACACTGTAGGTTTTCGGCACTGCGATCCTGCTGATTTGTGTAATGGCAGTGACCGACCCCCGGAATATGTCCCCACCCTCGGGCCTCGTCCCCATCAGTGTCGGGCTAATCGTCGTGGCCATCGGCATGACCTTCGGCTTCAACTGTGGGTATGCCATCAACCCCGCCAGGGACCTTGGACCACGAATCTTTACAGCTATAGCAGGCTGGGGATCAGATCCTTTAGGTGGGTACATCCAGGGTGATATAGCTGGGGGGATCAGATCCTTTCAGGTGGGTACATCCAGGGGTGATATAGTCCGAGTGGGGATCAGATCCTTTCAGGTGGGTACATCCAGAGGTGATATAGTCCGAGTGGGGATCAGATCCTTTCAGGTGGGTACATCCAGAGGTGATATAGTCCGAGTGGGGATCAGATCCTTTCAGGTGGGTACATCCAGGGGTGATATAGTCCGAGTGGGGATCAGATCCTTTCAGGTGGGTACATCCAGAGGTGATATAGTCCTTTCAGGTGGGACTGGGGATCAGATCCTTTCAGGTGGGTACATCCAGGGGTGATATAGTCCGAGTGGGGATCAGATCCGCTCAGGTTTCCGGTGGGTACATCCAGGGGTGATATAGGGTGATATAGTCCAGAGTGGGGATCAGATCCTTTCAGGTGGGTACATCCAGGGTGATATAGTCAGAGGTGATATAGTCCGGGGATCAGATCTTTCTTTCAGGTGGATCAGATCCTTTCAGGTGGGTACATCCAGGGGTGATATAGTCCGAGTGGGGATCAGATCCTTTCAGGTGGGTACATCCAGGGGTGATATAGTCCGAGTGGGGATCAGATCCTTTCAGGTGGGTACATCCAGGGGTGATATAGTCAGAGTGGGGATCAGATCCTTTCAGGTGGGTACATCCAGGGGTGATATAGTCAGAGTGGGGATCAGATCCTTTCAGGTGGGTACATTCAGGGGTGATATAGTCAGACTGGGGATCAGAGGTGATATAGTCAGAGTGGGGATCAGATCCTTTCAGGTGGGTACATCCAGGGGTGATATAGTCCGAGTGGGGATCAGATCCTTTCAGGTGATATAGTCCGAGTACAGATCAGGGGTGATAGTCAGGCTGGGTATCAGACTGGGGATCAGATCCTTTCAAGTGGGTACATCCAGAGGGATTAATGTATATATATATAGCTACAATGTCGGATTGGTTTGCTTTTCGTTTAACACCTCACTCAGCAATATCCCACCTATATGGCAGTGGTTTGTAAATAATCGGGTCTGGACCAGACAATCCAGTAATCAACATCATGCGCATTGATCTCCAGAATAGGGATACGATGACATGTGCGAAACGTGTCAGCGAGCCTGACCGTTATTCGCCTCTCACGACAAACATGGGTTGCTGAAGATCAATTCTAACCCGGATATTCACAGGTCTAAAATGTCTGACCGAAATAGAGAGATAAGTGATGGAGATGCTTTGATGTATGATAACATTCATCAATGTGCTTGTACTATAAGACGTGACTCTCATACTATTTCGTATACTGCAGCTTCCGGGACTTCAACTGGTTCTGGGTGCCTGTCCTTGGGCCCCATATAGGTGCTGTACTCGGTGCCTACATCTACCAGGTGTGTGTAGGCTTCCACTGGCCTACTGAAGTCGACATCTCCGCTGACACCAAAGACGTAAGCAAGGACGCGGGGCATGTGAATGTCGGCTTTGGTACGTAGTGTAGCATTAGCACGGTGTGAGATCGACAGTCGTACATTCCCCTAGGGGGCGATGGGGTAGCCCAGTGGTTAAGGCGTTCGCTCATCACGCCAAAGTCCCCGGTTCGATTCCCCACATGGGTAAAATTTGTAAATTTCTAGGGAATTTTTTATGTCCCCTGAGTGATATTGCTGGAATATTTCTAAAAGTGACATAAAACCACTCACTTTGACTGAGCTCCGTCGCGCATGTGAGTCAATTATGTTGTGGCGGTTTGTGAAAAGTAACGTTGTTGCATGTGAGACGATGCCGTCGGGATACGTCACTACAGTGTGACGACCCAATCCCCAGTTTGGTGTTACATTTGAAATATGCATGAGATGGTTGGGACTAAATCCGCACGGAATGCATGGGCACCACTGCATGTAACCTGTCGAGCAAAAGAAACTATACGCTTGAAATTTCCATTTGATGAAACTTGAAGATGATATACCAATGCTAATAAAAACATTCGCCGAAATACATCACCATCTAATATCCATTACGTGTTTGCTTCATTTCTATCCAACATCAAAGTGTTGTGTATACTTTCTTTTGCGCTTCAGTGTAGTTAATAATACCCGTAGTTAAACACTGTCCGTATTTTAGTTAGAGATGCCCAATATGTAATATTGATAAATCATTGACATGTACCTTATTAGAGAGGTAAGATTATAATATATGTTATTCTTTATTTTGTCTTATTTTCAAATTGTAATGTAATTTTTTGAAGAATTTGAAGTGAACATCTGCAAAACAGATTACCAATTGATGGTATATTTTTTGTCCTGTTTGTGTTTATACTATACATATTTTCTTTATATATTAATATATGAGGTGGTGATTTCTTATCATATCAACCCAAATGTTTGAAATTATTCACATATAGACAATTCATTGGTGAGAGAAATCCGTCTAATGCGAGGGGTCGTGCATGCAATAAGTTCTCTACAAACAATTACCAAAAAATGTTAGGATATTATAACAGAAATACATTGTCAGCCGAGATGAGGGCTTCCAGGTGAAGCTCTCTACACACAGAATGTGAAGGACTGTCTCTAACCTGCCTAAAATCGTTACTAAGTGAAGCACCTTCACCAAATGAACATATCTTTTCCAGTGAAGAGACTACGAAATTGGATGGGTTTTGGTACATATTAATAAAGAGCAAAACTTGAAATTCATAAATTCCAATTAGAGGGAGACAACTCATTTTTAGGTATGTTTACATTCAGAAGAAAATAGAAATAATAGAGAATCAATATGGAATCCTAAACTAAAAATACAGGAACTGAGGTGAACCTACGTTCAGTATGTGGATGAATTATGTGTAGTTGTGTATGGCATTGTACTTGTCATATTATTGTCGTTGTATATTTAGTACAAAAGCATGGTATATGAGCTTATATTGTAATATTGTGACAGTTGCTCGAATCTTGCATGGTGATCCGTATCAGGGCAATCTATCAGTAAAATAATTTTGTACACAATGTGATCTGGCCATCTGTTGTTAAGAAGCTCTTAATAATCATGGAATACAGCTGCATGTTAGAAAAGGTATGTGTGATATGGAATATATCGAGGCAAATTCTTTAATGTTTATTGTACCCTGTTGAAGTCTCTATCAATAGCTGAAAAAATTGATAAATTAGTCATGTTTCAGAAATATGTTTTGTCTAAAACTTAATAATCGATATAGTGTATTATAATTACGTTTGTGAAACTATACTGTTCCAAAAAAGAAACGCATAAACCAGAAATCTGTTGCGAAAATGTCTGTTCAAACATGTATAACTCGTCCATAAATAGTCTTTAGTCCATGAATTTTTACATCAGTTTAGAAGAAGGTAGTGTCTGTACAACCAAGTGGATAATTTTACATAATGGAGACGTTGAGCGCGATGGTGATGTTATCAACACTTTTGTTACATATTTTGACGATTGTTTGAACACAATTGGTAATTAATAGATTTTAGATATACTAAACGCCTATGCGTTTCTTTTTTGCTATTGATAATATATTACAATTACGGATTATGGTTTTGTTGTTCTTTAAACAATATCCATTCGTTGATTAATACCAACGAATCATATTTTCATGTTTAGGATTTGTTTATTAAATACATTATTCTCTACTTCTCTGTTGACTTCCAGAACTCAATTGATCGTTCCGATGGCATGGAACAGATGAATCTCTCCAGTTGATGCAGCTCGCCCTCCATACTCACGTTAGCCATCATCCAGCGTTATGTGTCCTGTGATGTTACAACGAAGTACCTGTTATCAGTTTTTGTGAAATTACACTACCTGTTGCGATGCTACGATTTTGATTTGATCGATCACTTTGTCAGCTTTAACCTGCCGTATATGATGTTGCCCGCTTGGTCTTCTGTTGTGCTGGCATTCATGAAATCTCGTGATGCCTCGTACAGTCTCGTAATCTCGACATTGCTTTCAAGGCAACTATTGTTCATGCATTATGTTGTAAAATTGATAATATATCCATTTGTACGACATGTACACCCGTGAAGATCCGGGTTAGAATATTGATCTTCATCAACCCATGCTTGTCGTAAGAGGCGACTAACGCGATCGGGTAGTCAGGCTCGCTGACTTGGTTGACACATGTCATCATATCCCAGTTGTGTAGATTGATGCGCATGCTGTTGATCACTGCATTGTCTGGTCCAGACTCGATTATTCACAGAACGCCGCCATATAGCTGGAATACTGCTGAGTGCGGCGTTAAACACCAAACCAACCAAACAATCGTACGCCATACAGTCTTTGCTCGTGGTCAAATGCGTCCAATTGGTTGACTGTCTGACTGCATGTCATTGTATCCCAGTTCAACCAAAATTCGCCGACACAATACAACAAGGATGACATATTCGATCATTACACTACTACTTCGACTACTTGTATTGTTGTAGTGACATGTTTTGCCAGGTAACATTATACGCCACTCTAATCAGTGCATAGCGCACTCCATATACAGGTGTATTCTGTAAATAACAACATATGATTGTAAAGATTTATAGGACCATACGTGTGCTACATCAGTTTCGAAATAATGGTTAACAAACGAAGTGCTCAACATTGTGTTTACATAACCGTGGATCGGACAGCTAGTCAGAAATATTTGTTGATGATGTCTTAATAGATATGAGAGTATATTCTACGTGGTCATTCTTAGCATACATGTAGCGAGGTCTGCGGGGAGTTTCTTAATTCTCAAAATGCGTTGGGGGTAGCCTAGTGGGTAAAGCGTTCGCTAGTCACCGGCTTTGATTCCCCACAAGTTCATTCCTGACAGAGACCATATACTCTAGCTGTTTCTAGATGACTCATTGCTGAAATATACCAAAAGCAGCGTAAAACCATACGCACTCACAATGTAATCGGACCATCATATTAAATCGACATTTTGTCCGATGTGTTCAGAGCTTTGTAATGTTTGATAATGGGTCGGCTGTATACTCCAGTCGGACGGATGGTGAGTTGAAGGCAACGCCCGTGTTATGTTATGTTGTTTCGTCTAAGTATTGTTTATAATGTACAATATTCTAGTTGTATTCCTACTTAGCATTTACACCCAATTTACGTTTAGCTCAGGCACTCAAGAAACTGACTTAAAGGATCGTGTTTGGGGTCGTATAGTTTGCTGTATACCATGCATGTTTCAAACGGGCGGTGGGGTAGCCTTGTGGTTAAGCATTCACTCGTCACGCCGAAGGCCAGGGTTCGATTCCCCACATGAATGCAATGTGTGAAGCCCATTTGTGGTGTTCCTGCCGTGGTGTTGCTGGAAATATTGATAAAAGCGATCTTAATCGATATTCACTCACTCACTATACTCAAGTTTGGCATTACATAAAATTGTTATATTTAATCCTGACAATGACGGTCTTGTGAAGAACACTAAACACATCTGCTGCCACAGTCAAGGAGAAAACAAACACATGGTCCTGATGTCTGTTACTGAACGTTGTGTATTGGGGGGTACATATCTCAAAGGTATGTGGTGTTTCCGCTGCGAGCCCACAGAGAGGATTGGATGGCCAGGCTTGGTGACGTAGATTGCGTGTCATCGTATACCAACCACGTGTCATTTTATAGAGATCACGTGGACTGCATGTCACTGGTTGGCCTTGATTCCAGTATTGACAGGTCATATCCGTCGACTCCAGCGTTTACTCACTCATTCGCCCACCCACTCGCTCACTCACTCACTCACTCACTGTCTGTTACAGTCATTCTCTAAACCGGCCACGATGACACCAATCATTATGTTACCATACACGGCAGGCTTGTTACCGCTCGTTAGCCAATACAACCACATAGGTGTTGTATACAGCGAACCCTACACAGATGTCACCTAGTCTGGTGAGATCGATTTCCTTCTCTTGTGACACCGTTTGTCAGTCATGACCACAGAGAAGAAGTCAATAAACTTCTATCGATTCCTTCGATTTTCTAATATATTCAAATTCAGCATTAAACAGCTGTCTTCAGTGTTCTGAAGATTATGTGTATCAAAATTAGGATATAAAGTTGTTTAACCATATAAACTCTGAATTCTAGTTTAGGAGGGTCCATTTACAGTAGAACGTATAGCTGTGCCAACATCTGTGCCTCCAGTTCGACCTGCTGCCGTGAGACCCGAGTACTGCTGTTAATGAGCAGTGTTTGCAGGAAGAGAACATCATACGTGTAATGCCGTGTATGTCTGGTGCTTTCATCATTGCTGGAAAGACTCTTCCTGTATCAGAGGAGGATGAACTTGTCTTAGGAGTCAACATATTGTGATTGGTGACAATAATGTCGACGTTTACTATGTAACGTGATTATTATTTTAACACGGTGTAGGCGACATAACGGAAGTGACACGCTTACCGGCTTCATGCGACAACGAGAAAGATGGAGAGGTGTGTTTGGTCAGTGTTTGGACTGACAAGATCACGTTTTGGAGTACATTGTCTCCATGCCTAAACGACTCCAGTCACATGTATAGACTCATAAAGTTATAAAACAATAATCGTGAATTCCGAACCACAGCCGACTTAGGCATCTTCTTCCTGAGAGGAGGTTTAGCCTGTGATGTCTTTTGTGGACAGGTTCGCTGAATGGCTCAGTCAGGGGGTTTCGTCCGCATAGACGTATCGGGTTATCGAAGCAATAGAAATATGGCGTTTTACAGCTAATGAAGATACTGTCGCGAATTCAATCTTGATGAAGAAGCACAACATTATCTGTGATGCTGTGGACTTTCATCAAGGTGATGCAAGGAATGTTTGATCAATGACATCATTTACCTGTTCATCCCCAGTCTTTAATGATCATCATAAACACCATGAGGTTCCGAATGAAAATATACACCGCCTGTCTCCATGTGTTTCTGTGTGGACTGTTCTTTAATTGGATCATCGGGTCACTCAGAAAGAAGGAACGTGATCCGAACGAGGGTTTAGATATCCAGGTTGAGGGGTTGAAGGGTCGTGGTTCTAACGCCAATGGGGAAAACGGGAGGGGCATGACGTTTGTGGGGCAGGAGCTGCAGCTGGTGGAGCAGTACATGGAGACGTATAAAGTGAATGTTGTGGCCAGTGATCTCATCAGCCTCAACAGGAGCATCCCGGACACCAGGTTCCTCAGGTAGGTCTCCCCATCACTGCAAGGTGAGCTAGGTGTGAATAACACCATTACAGTGTACATAGAACATGTTACCTTTGATCAAATCAAAGAGCACCTTCGTGGTCTTCACAGACCAATATGTATTATTCTGGGCTTTCGGACATTCCGACTTAAGATCTTGGTTTATTTGTTGTTTAACGCTGCACTCAGCAATAATCCAGCTATGTGGCGGCAGTCTGTAAATGTTCTGGATCAGGCGATCCAGTGATCAGCATCATGAACATCAATCTACGGAATTGGAATACGATGATATGTTTCAACCAGGTCAGCGAACCAGACCTCCCGAACCCGTTAGTCGCCTATTACAAGCATAGTTTGCTGAAGGCCAATTCTAACCCGGATCTTCACGGGTTGGCTTAAGATCAGTGTATCCAAGCACGATAAATGGACATACATTTCCACAAGGAAATCCCTAACCTCTTATCAGACATTTATGATACACGTAAAGAGTGGAAATTGTATGAATTCCCGGTTCTGTAATAGGAGGAACACGATGTTCCGGAACATTATATTATATTATTATTCCATAATAGTGAACATGGTTGCAATGTAGCCTTGACATGTAAAATTTAGTTTCTAAAAAAAGCACATGTCATCATAATTAAATGTCAGTATCTACACAATGATGTGAACTATATAGAACCACAGCACACTAAGCTTAAACAGCATAGATACCACCAACGCCGACAGTTAAGAGTAGAACATTCACCTTCACGTGGGCATGGCCTTAACGTCCTGCAGAAACGTCCACATGTATGTATAGGAAAGACGTTATAATCCCGCGCATAACGTATATGTATATGCTCACCCAGCTTCTAAAGGTCTTTCAACCAGTCAGTGATATATACATCCACCAGTACACGCTAACGTACCACTTGCAATATACATGTAGTGCGATAGCGTTGGTTCCACATTTCAGTTGTAAAATCAAAGTGCAAACCCCTCTGTGGGTACTGTTGTAGACCAGTTGCACGATTCTATGAATGTATAAGTATCTGTGAAGCTATTGTAAGCACATAAGATACAAACATGTCCTAATGCAGATCACAAAGTATTATCCTTGAAACATAGTATAATTATTTATCTTTTAAAAACAAATCAAACGCCTTGTTCGCCTTCTTTTAAAAAATAATAGGAATGTGAATGAATTACCCAAAATACTCTCAAAGTATACGTCAATATACTCTTGACATTTTCAAAACAGGTGAATTGTAACCCTGAACAAATTCACATTGCTAGTCAATATCCGACCTGTGTATACATTTAGCAATGTACATATGTCCTTCCTGCCCAGCTGTGGGAGCTTGGTGTATCCTGTGTCTGAGCTTCCGACAACCAGTGTCATCATCCCCTTCCATAACGAGTGGCGCTCGCTGCTACTGAGGACAGTCCAAAGCATCATCACCAGGACGCCACCGGCACTGCTGCAGGAGATCATCTTGGTGGATGACGACAGCAGCCTAGGTACGGTTTTCAACAGCTTTACAGGGACGGTTTCCTGTGTAGGTGTAGACAATGTAATAAGTGTAGTACGGTTTCCAACAGCTTTACAGAGAGACTGTTTCCTGTGTAGGTGTAGACAATGTAATAAGTGTGGTACAGTTTCCAACAGCTTTACAGAGAGACTGTTTCCTGTGGAGGTGTAGACAATGTAATAAGTGTGGTACAGTTTCCAACAGCTTAACAGAGAGACTGTTCCTGTGGAGGTGTAGACAATGTAATAAGTGTGGTACAGTTTCCAACAGCTTAACACAGAGACTGTTCCTGTGGAGGTGTAGACAATGTAATAAGTGTGGTACAGTTTCCAACAGCTTAACACAGAGACTGTTCCTGTGGAGGTGTAGACAATGTAATAAGTGTGGTACAGTTTCCAACAGCTTAACAAGAGACTGACAATGTAATTCCTGTGGAGGTGTAGGTGTAGACAATGTAATAAGTGTGGTACGGTTTCCAACAGCTTTACAGAGAGACTGTTCCTGTGGAGGTGTAGACAATGTAATAAGTGTGGTACGGTTTCCAACAGCTTTACAGAGAGACTGTTCCTGTGGAGGTGTAGACAATGTAATAAGTGTGGTACGGTTTCCAACAGCTTTACACAGAGACTGTTCCTGTGGAGGTGTAGACAATGTAATAAGTGTGGTACGGTTTCCAACAGCTTTACAGAGAGACTGTTCCTGTGGAGGTGTAGACAATGTAATAAGTGTGGTACGGTTTCCAACAGCTTTACACAGAGACTGTTCCTGTGGAGGTGTAGACAATGTAATAAGTGTGGTACGGTTTCCAACAGCTTTACACAGAGACTGTTCCTGTGGAGGTGTAGACAATGTAATAACTGTGATACTGGTGGATTGGTTTCACATAGATGAAATAAAGATGCAAACCAGAGCGTATTTTCGAATACTGGAAACACACTGACATTTGTTCCGTGTCACGTCCCCCTTTACTACATGTGTAGTCATTTTTTGAATTCTTGGCACAAATAGGACATTAATCATCACATCGTGTCTGTGACCTGACTACGGACCTTATTCATTACAGAAGCAGCTTCAAGAATGGAGATCTGTTTTTTGTATAACGTTCCATATGCTGTGCTCAATATTCAGATATCTTGAAGAAGCCACTGGACCAGTACATCGCGGACCATTTCCCATCCGGTAAGGTGAAGGTTTTGCGCATGCCCGTGAGGGGAGGCTTGATCAAGGGGAGGCTGAGAGGGTGGCGGGAAGCTAAGGGAGACGTGCTGGTCTTCCTCGACAGCCACATGGAGGTTCAAGTGGGCTGGTAGGTAGTGCAGACCATCAGTGCAATAGACAGATAGTTGGCTGAGTTCCGTTTATAGCCTTCAGCAAAACATTCACTCCACAGAACACTTTTTGACGAAATTTGTTTGAAATTTGTTTGGAGTATGCTATGGAATAGAAACAAGAGCTGTATATGCTTCTTGTGTGAAGTACGTTTATGCGGCTTTCTTTTCTTTTCCCATTTAACAGACACATTTACTTGGAAAACAGAGCTAGTAATTGTAATTTATGAAATGAAAATCATTACTTTCGTACGATCACTTAACTGTACTATCGACAGTAATGTTTCCAAGTCCTTGTATCATTCATGCATAACGTGGTAATACCCTCCGTGAGGAAATTAGTAAAGTCAGAAAATATTTATCTATTGTCATGTAAATTATTATTGTAGTGAAACTAAACTGCATCGTTTTGTTCCAGGTTGCCTCCCTTGCTGAACGAGATAAGGAAGAACAATAAGACTGTGGCAATGAGCGTGCTGGACAAAGTTGATGCTCGGACTCTGCAGTACAACGTGGCTGGCGACAACGTCATGAGATACGGCTTCCAGTGGAAACTGGGGTTCTATGGTCTGTACTTCCGACCAGAACAAATAGGGGAACAACGACACAGCCCAAGAAGGTAAATCCTGAAAGTCTGGCGTGACTGACTAAATATCTAGTGACGAGAAAATATCGTGGACAGTGAAATAGGTAGTGTTAGTAAAAATAGGCAACATAATTCTTCCCATGTCCACAAGAAATCTTTGCAGAATCTCTACCTGAAGCCAAAAAATGGACCCGTGAAGATCCGGGTTAGAATTGGTCTTCAATAGCCCATGCTTGTCGTGACAGGCGACTAACGGGGTCGGGGAGTCAGACTCGATGACTTGGTAGACACATGTCATCGTATATCCTAGTTGCGTAGATCGATGCTCATGCTGTTGATCACTGGATTGTCTGGTCCAGACTCGGTTATCTACAGACCGTCGCCATATAGCTGGAATACTGCTGAGTGCGGCGTTAAACAATAAACAAACCAATCCAAAGCAGAATCGATTGTACGATACCGACTGTTATTATGAGCATGTAGTTATGAATAACTATCAAATAGCGTTACCGGGTGTGGGGCAGTGGGGTAGCCTAGTGGTTAAAGCGTTGGCTCGTCACGCCGAAGACCCGGGTTCGAATCCCCACATGGGCACAATGTGTGAAACCCATTTCTGGTGTCCCCCGCCGTGATGTTGCTGGAACATTGCTAAAAGCGGCGTAAAACCAAAACTCAGTCAGTCAGTTACCGGGTGTTCGCGAAACTTATAGAAGTGTGATATAATTTGAATATATCTGTGGCACTGGTTGGGCAGGGGTGTTTCAATGGTTGGAGCGGCCTATGCTGTGGACAAGTCTTACTTCGCGGAAATCGGTGCCTATGACGAGGGGATGCAGATTTGGGGCGGGGAGAACATTGAGATGGCCTGGAGGGTGAGTATCATTATTTACTGACGGCTGCCATATTGCTGGAATATTGCGAAGTGCGAAAAACAAACAAACACACATTCATACTCGTTTTGAGTAAAGCGTAATATTCACATGGATACAATGTGAGGAAAGCATCCTTTTTTCCAGGTGTGGATGTGCGGGGGTCAGCTGTTGCACGTGCCATGCTCACACGTGGGTCACATCGAGCGTCCCCAGCCCTACACCTTCCCGGGAGGAGGCAGACATGCTGTCAAACTGGTCAATTTTAAGCGTGCAGTAGAAGTGTGGATGGGACCGTACAAGAGATTTGTGTATCGTCAGTTCCCAGAAATGGAGGTGAGTACGGTTTGTACCATATTGGCAATAGGTGTTATTTATTCAACAGCTGTATAACAGGCGGTAAATATTCGAGTCCAAACGGCATTTAGAAGTGTTACACATAAAGGCGAGAATTAATGGGTGTGAACTTCTTTTTTAACGAACACTACATTTCGGAGTTTATTCTTTCTCCTTCGAGCTCTCCAGTCCAGCTCGCCTTTATGTGTATCACTTCTAAATGACGTTCAAAGGCTCCATACATCAACATTGGAGATGATGCAGTAAGATCCATCAACAACTACAACAAGAGCATAAGCATAAGCAGAAGTGTTAAAACCAGCAGCCACCTGCCGTGACAGCAACCTTGTTCCCAGAGGTTTCCAGCTGCCTTTACCTATCTACCGCTCTCCAGCCATCGATAACATCCTTCACCATGCCAGCTGCAGAATATTGCAACATCACATTCAGGACCTACGAAGACAAAAGGCCCACCTTCAACATTATGTTGAGACTACAAGATCACACCGAGAAGACATTCTTGTGCCTGACCTTCACCTGATGAAGGAGTAAGAATACACTCTGAAACGTCATGCTCTTCTAGATGATGAAGCTGACATCCATAAATTCTCGCCTTTATCATGGACATCGGTCCATGCAGTTGGGATATGCAAAGCACCAAGACACCACTTAGATGTCTCTTACGACAAGCACAGGTACCCGTGATCTCAATTCTTACCGGATCCCAAAACATTAGCCACTACTCTTAATAACGTTCTGGCTCACCCTAACGTCTCCGAAATGTGTGCCCGTGAAACACTTTTCACGCAGCTTTAAGAAAGGACATTTCTGGGGCCGTGTGCGGAATCGGTTCGGCAGAAAACACTCCTGTTTCTTTTAAAGACCAGTATAAACATTATAAGATGAGTAATTCTCGCAATTAAAATTAAACTACCAGGTATATACAGTAGTTGAGAGTCAAAGCACCCCTTTTATGTCTCAATACCAATCACCAGATTGTCTGGTCCACACTCGATTATTTACAGGCCGCAGTCATGTTGCTGAAATATTGCTGAATGCTGCGTTAAACAACAAACAAACAGTTTCTTTCCGACAAGTCCACCGCAGCTTGTTGTTCCAGACCCTAGACGCCGGGGATCTCTCCTCCCGCCTGGCCCTGAAGGAGCGGCTCCAGTGTCGGGACTTCTCCTGGTACCTGAAGCACGTATGGCCGGAACTGTTGGTGTATGACGAGGATGTCCGGGCATGGGGAACGGTCAGTAACACCATAGCAACATACCTTCCCAAATATACCACTCAAAAGAAGTCAGAGACCACCTATGTCATGACAGACTAACTATATCAGTATGAAATAATACGGTGTTTTCTAAATTCTTTTAAAAATATATAATATTACTTGTATTTGAGTAATACATTATTACCTATATTTAAGTCGTACAAACTTGTAATATTAGTAGTATTTTAACCTAAATTTGACGTATATTACCTATATCAGAGTATATTTTAGTATATTACCTATATCAGAGACATGTATATTACCTATATTTTGACGTATATTACTCATGTCTTATAGAGACGTATAGTTACCTATATTTTAGTAGTATATTACTTACATCAGAGACGTATATTGCCTTCATTTTAGTAGTATATAACTTAAATCTGAGACGTATATTACCTATTTTTCAGAAGCATATTACCTATATTTTAGTAGTGTATTACTTATATTGGAGTAGTTTATTAGTTCAGGGACATTTGTGAATAACATGCTACCATATCGTGACTTATTGTGATAATAAACACAGGGTGCACTTTGGCGCCTACTTTATCCGTGCTTTATATAAATATAATCTACAAAAAGTTTCCATAATCATCAGAGGCCAAGTCCAACTATATCATAAGTACATATCAAATAGTAATGAAACCAGGCGTTCGAAAAATTGCCCGCGTGTAGCCCCTGCGTCACTAAACCTGTGCAAAGACTAACGAACGCTTTAGTTAAATCTTTAATACAGTCACTGTGTTTCACTGTTCTAATTCTGTGAGAGCTATGTTTTGTATAGGTAATCCTCATTTGAATTGAAGCAAGTGGGTATTTTAACAGTGATTGGTATGCTTAACTGTACTTTGGTGACAATTATATTATTGATGATAAATTTACTATTCATTCAGCTGAAGAACGACCAGTCCATGACGTGCCTCGATAATCATAAAGGCCTCTATCCTGGAAGGGTGTTTATGGAACAGTGTAAGGATGACCTCAATTTACAGGTAAATCTCACCTGACAGCAGTGTAAGGATGACCTCAATTTACAGGTAAATCACACCTGACAGCAGTGTAAGGATGACAGCAGTGTAAGGCAGTGTGACCTAATACAGGTAAATCTCACCTGACAGCAGTGTAAGGATGACCTCAATTTACAGGTAAATCTCACCTGACAGCAGTGTAAGGATGACCTCAATACACAGGTAAATCTCACCTGACAGCAGTGTAAGGATGACCTCAATATACAGGTAAATCTCACCTGACAGCAGTGTAAGGAAGACCTCAAATCTCACTGACAGCAGGTAAATCTCACCCAGTGTGACACCTGACAGCAGTAAGGATGACCTCAATATACAGGTAAATCTCACCTGACAGCAGTGTAAGGATGACCTCAATATACAGGTAAATCTCACCTGACAGCAGTGTAAGGATGACCTCAATACACAGGTAAATCTCACCTGACAGCAGTGTAAGGAAGACCTCAATTTACAGGTAAATCTCACCTGACAGCAGTGTAAGGAAGACCTCAATACACAGGTAAATCTCACCTGACAGCAGTGTAAGGAAGGACACAGGTAAATCTCACCTGACAGCAGTGTAAGGATGACCTCAATACAGGTAAATCTCACCTGACAGCAGTGTAAGGATGACCTCAATACACAGGTAAATCTCACCTGACAGCAGTGTAAGGAAGACCTCAATACACAGGTAAACTCACCTGACAGCAGTGTAAGGATGACCTCAATACACAGGTAAATCTCACCTGACAGCAGTGTAAGGATGACCTCAATACACAGGTAAATCTCACCTGACAGCAGTGTAAGGATGACCTCAATATACAGGTAAATCTCACCTGACAGCAGTGTAAGGATGACCTCAATACACAGGTAAATCTCACCTGACAGCAGTGTAAGGATGACCTCAATATACAGGTAAAATCTCACCTGACAGCAGTGTAAGGATGACCTCAATACACAGGTAAATCTCACTTGACAGCAGTGTAAGGATGACCTCAATTTACAGGTAAATCTCACCTGACAGCAGTGTAAGGATGACCTCAATATACAGGTAAATCTCCCCCGACATCAGTGTAAGGAAGACGTCAATATACAGGTAAATCTCACCTGACAGCAGTGTAAGGATGATCTAAATATACAGGCAAATCTCACCTGACAGCAGTGTAAGGAAGACCTCAATACACAGGTAAATCTCAATTGACAGCAGTGTAAGGATGACCTCAATATACAGGTAAATCTCACCTGACAGCAGTGTAAGGATGACCTCAATACACAGGTAAATCTCACTTGACAGCAGTGTAAGGATGACCTCAATATACAGGTAAATCTCACCTGACAGCAGTGTAAGGATGAACTCAATATACAGGTAAATCTCCACTGACAGATACACTACTCACCGTTTGATGGGAATGGTTTTTGTTTTTCATGATACACAGTATTAATTCTAATATGTCAAATGTAGTTAAATAGGGTTATGGCAAACTCAAGGCGACCATTATTTTAGTTCGTTACAACCGTAGTTCGTTATGATCTGTTTGATCTGTTTATTCGTTATATCTATGTATTTGGTCTATAATGTACTCTATTGGTACCCGTGAAGGTCCGGGTTAGAATGAACCTTCAGTAACCCATGCGTGTCGTAAGAGGCGACTAACAGGATTGGGTGGTCAGGCTCGCTGGGTTGGTTGACACATGTCATTGGTTCTAGATCACTGGACTGTCTGGTCCAGACTCATAAAAAAACCCAAAACAAAACATGTCTACATGTATGGCCCTGGAATGTTTAATGTTGAATTTATTGGTGAATGTGAACAATCAAAATGTCATTTTGCGTGTCTTACACAATTCAAGGTGAATACCGAGTGTAACCTCCATGTGACTGTATGACAGCCAGCACCCTCCTTCTCATACCCCCTGTCAACCTCCCGATCCTTCGAAGGGGCAGTCTACGCCATTCCTCGTGCAAAACATACAGCTTCCATTTAGGCCAAGTTCTGGACAGGAGGGTCCATTTGTTGCACACGACGACCAATCAGGTCCCAGATAAGATGGGGGCTCATTCAATCGTGAGATATGTCAGGGGATGCTTAACTAATTTCTTTGTGTATATTAAAGTAAACTACTATATATGAATGTCAGTATCAAAAGCTGAAAAACTGAGTAGTTGATACATTGTTATGTTTCCAAAGGGTTTCTCTCTGATGCGTGACGGACGTCTGAGAACAACCGTGTTGTGTGTTACCATTGGCACTATCAACGCTAAACATAGGCCCTTACTTAAAGAGTGTTACAACCAACACAGCACATGGACGATTCATCGCAAGGTTAGTTTTTCTTTCACAATCACGTCTTTTTCATTTATTGGCTTCAAGTTTAATTTACAATCAGGTAATAAAAACGAAAGAGTAGTGATGATGTTTTTATCGCAAGTATATTCACCAGCAAAGCTTGCCCAGAATTTCTCCAGTCAACTTCTGACACATATAAGGGTAGCCTAGTGGTTAAAGCGTTCACTCGTCGGCCCAGGTTCCATTCCCACATGGGTACAAAGTGTCAAGCCCATTTCTGGTGTCCCACGCCGTGATATTGCTGGAATATGGCTAAATTGGGCGTAAAACCATACTCACTCACTTAAGCTATAATCGCCTGTGGATAACAAAGTCATGTTCATTACACAATGTTCGCTTGTCAATAGTTGAATGTCGTGTCCATACAGTGGCTGGGCTGAGTTATGTGGGGCGGTGGGGTAGCCTAGTGGGTAAAGCGTTGGCTCGTCACGCCGAAGGCCCGGGTTCGATTCCCCAAATGGGTAAAATGTTTGAAGCCCATTTCTGGTGTCCCCCGCCGTGATATTGCTGGAATATTGCTAAAAGCGGCGTAAAATCAAACTCACTCACTCACTCACTAGAGTTATGTATCCCTTAGCTCACATGAGTGAGTTTAGTTTTACGCCGCATTCAGCAATATTCCAGCTATATGGCAACGGTCTGTAAATAATCGAGTCTGGGCCAGACAATCCAGTGATCAACAGCATGAGCTTCTATCTACGCAATTGGGATACGATGACATGTGTCAACCAAGTCAGCGAGCCCGAACATCCGATCCCGTTAGTTAGCTCACATGATTTTGGTAGGGCAGGCTATGCTCACCCTCTTCGGAAACGCCTGGTTTCAGTGATTCAATCATATAATTTTCATTCCTCTGCTTTCAATACATATTAAACTGTTGGGTTAACGAGACTGGTGGACGTAATATATTTACGGTCATTGTTTCAGACAAAATGGCTGAATGAAGAGGCAAGCGGTTTGTGTTTGGATGTGTTTAATGGCTTCCCCATCATGTCACCATGTGTCGAAAACAGCACGTCACAGCAGTGGACATTTCAACATAACAAGTGAGCTGGGAGGCTTATAAAGACGAAGAACTGAGGATCACCTATGGGGATGGACCTTTAACATACTTGAATAGGTCATAATAGCTAACAGTGAGAAGTAGGTTGAAGTACACCTATGTTTTCACTAATTTACAGCCAGAATACGATGGAATCTACACAGTCTCACTGTGTGGGAATCGAACCCGGGCATGAAACGTGATGAGCCAACGCTTCAACAACTAGTCATGGTTAAGATCGCAAGAAAAACATTCGAAGAGACCAACTGGCTTGGTCAAAAGATACAGAGGGCCACGAATGGCCAAGTCATGTTAGGCGCTGCAAGAGATCTGACGAGTTGCGTCCCTTGGCCACGCCAGAATCCTATGATCGATGGTTGGAATCCTGGGTCACAACAATTATGTTACTGAAGTACTGTCGGAAATAGAAAAAAACTGTGTTTTCTCATTTATCTCTACAGTTGATGTAGTTGATATGTGAAAGTGTGAAATATCTGTTAATCTAAGTTCTACAGTCTCAGTGGTAGAGAGATAGGAAACGGAGAAAAGGGACTTTACTGATGGGAAATTAGTGCAGAAATGAGCAATGCGGGTTTTTTCTAAGTCCAAAAAGACTTATTTGGAACAGACCATGGCTTTATGCAAGTTAGTGTGCTACGATATTGTATTACAAAGGACACTTTTTAAATGCCCAATTTGAAATTAGACGTAGATTCATTATAAACGATAGCTGTCGTAAAAAGTAATAACTTTATGCCGAAACTATTAAGGATGTAGCTACCATGCAGTCTCACTGTCACTATAAAAAGAAACAGATAGGAGGGTCGTCTCAAAAGCAAAACATGGGGTCGGGCTTGGGGATAGAGATATCAGCTAAGATAAGATAATCCTTTAGGGCAATTATACTGGGGAGGTACACGGCACGTCATAACAATTTACAAATAATATCCAGTCCTGTCGATCTTCGGGTGGTCATGCCACCTATATACATGTACTACGATGCGTTTCTATGGTTATCGGTATTCATACTCTTTTACATATCTCAACATAAACTATATGAAACTATATGAAAGAAAGACACGTTAGATGTTAATCAATAGATGAGACATGGTCAACACACATGAAAAAGCACAAAATATATTTGAGATGACCCCTTGTGCCTGTAGGCAGCACGTGCATTTCATGCCAGGTGAGTCGACGGTCCGTCGTCATACCTGGCTGAGCGACCTAATTGCCATCTATAGTCTGACCTGTTGTTTTCAGCAGCTATTCGGTATTTCTCTAAGTTTTGCCCGATTTTACGAGTAAACATGCTTTTCTGGATATCGTATTACGCATCCCACTGAACGCCCAGTTAGGCCGAAGTGGGTTATTTCGATTTGGGGGCCTGAAAGAAGCCAAATCGTACAGTCTACGCTACCTAGGGTAGCCAAAACATTGTGTGCATATTTCTTCCCTATTCGTCAACGTGGCCAGCCATGCATGGTAACCGCTGGAGACCTTACTTACTTTGTTCTATGTGTCAGAATGAATGAGTGAATATTGCATTACGCCCCATTAGGAACTTTGTAACTATTCGCGGCAATGTTTCATGTTTGTAAGACAATAGTGAGTTGGTGGTGATTGGCGAAGTTACCTGAGCTATATGATGTGAGATTGGGTTATCTTCACTTCCTTTTCAGGTATGTCATTAAAGTAGAATATGACAAAGTTTGTTCTGTCTATGAAGAGTATAATAATGTGATAACAGCTGACATGTGATGAATGTCATCGTATCCCACCTGCGCTGATTAATGCACATGATATCAGTCACTGAACTGTCTGGTCCAGACCCGATTATTTACAGACAACCCTTATGTTGCTGGCATATTGCTGAGCATCTCCTCAGGCAACAAAGCAGGACATACAAAAGACCAATGCCAACACAGGCCTTCACGGGAGTGACCTGATGTGATCTTCTGATGTACCTTCCGTATCACATGACAATCAAGCAGCTCAGGACAGATATTTTGTTTATAATAAACATAAACACCAGATATGGGCTTCACACATTGTACCCATGTGGGGATTCGAACCCGGGTCTTCGGTGTGACGAGCCAACGCTTTAACCACTAGGCTACCCCACCGCCCTCCTGATTGTGAAGATCGAAGCTCATGATGTCAATTATTAAACAACAAACTAATGTTATCAGCATTAACCAACATGCCTATTGAAAATAAAAGAAACATGGTATGTTTGTTTGTAAATTCAACAGTTTATTCCTGTTCCTTTGAACAACTTGAAGGAACGTGGGCTACATACAACTTGAGTAAGCTATTAGTTGTGACATGAGTAAGACCTTTTTTAATGGGTTATCTCACTGTGCTCAAACCTATACTATCCACAGAATATAACTGATACAGGTCTTTGACAATTACCAGCTTGGTGAGTTTGGGTATGTAGAAAACATCATGTGATTCTGACAGGCTTTGGGGATGCAACTGTGCCCCTCAATAGAGGAGGTGCTTGATGTAAGAGGCAACTAACAGGATCGGGTGACTAGGTTGACACACCCTATCCCAATTGTGTAGATCTATGCTCATGCTGTTAATCACTGGTTGTCTGGTCCAGACTCGATTATTCACAGATTGCAGCCATACAGCTGGAATATAGCTTAGTGCCACCAAAAACTAAACTCGCTGACTCACTCATTAAAGAATTTCAGCAAAATGAAGCATTCCTTCACATTTTGTATGTATTTAAAGTTAGCTTAGGTCGTGAATTGTAAGAACGTTTTGGGTAACTTATCATGCAGAGAAATAACAGTGATTTAATGAGTTTGGTTTAAACTGCCTGAAGTAAGGCCTGCCCTTGATTATCTGCACTTCACTGAAACCCATAACATGGTGCTGCCAAACCTAGACACACAATTCAAACCAAGCTCACAGACTCCTGACTGCCTAAGGGATGCAACTCTACACAGCGAATTGCTGCACCAGAGACTCAGTCACATGTGCCCACAGTGAAAACACAGCCACTGATAGAAACAAAAACATGAAAAAGATAAAAGAAGTAACATAATTGTAGTGACATTTAACACATTTTAGTAATTGATAAGATAAATAGGATGCAATAAAAATGCAATGTTAGATATATAACAAAGAATGGAAGCACCAGATCTACAATAGAAACTTTGGTAATCCCTCTGAACAAGCACCTGTGTATATTAAAGCAAAAAAACACTGGAATTCAAACATTTCTGAATATATACAAAAATCACAGACATATCAACAGGATTAAAAAGCATTATGAAGGTAAAGTAAAAAATACATTCAGTTACATTATGCTACACTTGGATAGGACAATCACATAATAAATAACAAAAACATTCTCGCATAATAGTTTTCAATATTACAACAACAGAAAACATCTGTGACATGTTCTCAACAGACCTTTGTTTGCTTTGATACAGCTGGAAGAAGTAAGACCTTTGCAAAAACAATTTGGCACAGACCCACAAGCATCACAAACCAGCGTTTTACAACAATTATTTCTTCTTTAGGCTGACACAAACATTCTGAAACCTGCTAGAAAACATTTTTTTATGAAACAAAGACACATCTAACTATGCATCATTACACCACACCTAAAACAAAACACTTCCTGCATTAACCATAGTAACGCTTTGAAATTTGGACAAACACTGGAAAGATTGTAATTATCAGAATTTGTTATTATCATGATTATATTTGAAATATCAGCTTAAAATTAAATTAAATTAATGACCTATTTTCTGGTGAATAAATGGGCTAGATAGTCAAGTGAAACATCATTTTTACTAAGTATGTTCTAAAGTTTTTTCTATTTGTCAGATCATTCCTGCTTGGAGACATAAATATTCAGAACATTTCTAATTCCAAGGGGGATAACTTTTGCTAACTATAATGTGGAAACATTATGGAAATTATGTAGAATGATCTAACCTATGTAATTATCTAGAATGTATACGTAACACATAATCATAATAACAAACTATACTAATATCTGAAGAAATTGTTCAAATTACATTGGTATCAACAACATTCTTCGGTGGAAATATTCACCATCCTTAAGAACATAAACAAACTGATTGCAGACATAATTTTTGATGGACAATGTGTACACATAACACAATAAACATGACAAATAACTTAATTATCTGAATAATTTGTTCAATTTTTGGCATGACAGATATTCATCAATCTAACAAACACGATAATAAAACCGACTGTAACTAAAGAGATTAAAACTTTCAATTGGCAATGTTTAAAATTAATAATCAGGCCAAAAAGCGAAGGATGACAACTTACATGCATATGTATCATCCTTCAGTGTGATGTACCGGTATGCACTTAGACTGTCGATTAAATATTCATATTTATCTTATCACATCCATGACAGTAGAAGCAAGTCAATTTTGTCAAGTAAACATCTTGACAAGTACAAATAAGCCAAAAATATTCTTATCGATACTCTATTCATGATCAAAACATTGAAAACTGTGCAACTGGATGATTAAATTCAAGATGTTCAATATCAAGATGAACAGATCTTATCCAAAAATGAAAAACTCGTACTCCCACATCTCTGACAAGTACTCATCCTTTATGCAACTCTGAAGGCCGACTTCCTCTAGCCTCTGTTCTATGAAGTCGAGCACCTTGGCCACAGTCTCCTGCTTCATGTTGGCCAGGAGGTTGTCCTGCCTGCCACCAGTCAACAGAGGGTACAGCTTCAGGGCAGGCATCTGCTTCTCCAGATGGGGGTTGTGGACGAAGAAACTTGGCAGCCACATACTCTGTAAAGCAGACCTAAGAAAGTGCACACAGTCCGAGACCCTATCAGCCAGTTTCTCCATTGTCCAGTTATGTGGTGCACTCTCTAGAAGGAGAAAGGACAAAATGGTTTCCAGCTGATACGATTGGATCTCTCCCCGACTGAGAAGTGATGTCTTGTAGCCGCTAGTGAACAAAGCTTTCATGATTCTAAGACAGATCTTGTGACATCCTGTGATGCCTGCAAGCTGCAGCTTCTGGTCCATTGCAGCCAGATAAGAAGACTCCAGATCACAGAAACACAAGTTCCACATCAGATCAGGATCAAGACTTTCAACCCTGTCCCGGAAAACCCTCATGGAACTGCTTGATGGTCTTCTTGCCTGCTGTTTGACAACCCAAGGGGTAACTGCATACACTGTTGGCAGCAGTGACACACTCGAGTTGATCAAAGGAATGGCAGGACACAATCTGATGCAAATCTCTGGTATTCCAAGACCAAGGCCATGAAGCATTCTTGTATCAAGTATTAGCTGCAAATCACCCTCAGCTGCAATACGGATTGAGAAAGGAAGTCTGTCAAGAAGACTCTTGTTGCTGTTCATCAACCTCTTAATGGCTTGGTCCACCAACTCCTTACACAGAGACAGAATTTCTTTCGGCAGTAGGTAGATTCCAATGGAGTCTGACACAGATGCCCTCTTTGTGTATTGCTTCTGCTTCTTCTCCTGTTTCATATCCTTCACAGACAACAACACTTTCCCTGATGGAATATCTTCAGACACATTGTGGTATAACACATTGTGAAGCACACACTCTGAAGGCTGGATGATCATAGCTGTGTCAAACTGATTAGCTTTAGATATTTTCAGACCTTTGGCAACACTCCCTATACCTTTGAATTCAACAAACCTAACACTTGAACTAGCTGAAGCCTTCTGAAGTTCTTTTTCTAGCATCAACAATGTGTAATTAACAATCAAAGAGGCACCAAACCATTGTTCAGTGCTTACTGGGCAGTTCCTTATGTGAAAAGTGAGAACATCTCTTAAATTTCTGTTTTCAACGTTTCCAAAATCAATGTCATCAGTTTTCATGGATGACCAACCAAGCCTTGTATTCATTCTTTCAACTTCATGCCAAGCATGTTTATCCTTTGCAGGCTGGTCATTTCCAATCAGACTCAGATCTCCAAGAGGCAGTGAGGGTGAGACTTGTCTTGGTCTTCGCCAGGTACTGCGACGACCAAGTCTTGGAGATACCAGGTTACTGATGGTACCAGATGATGCACTGGAAGCCATATTAGGAGTCATACTTGTTGGCTGGTTTGGAAAGGATTCGGATGAGATACCCAATGCTTTATCCAGTTCACAGAGAAACTTGTCGACTGTAGATGTTAGGAAATATTTTGTATCTGTTGTATTTACTCTTATGCTGTCATTATTAGATGCAGTTTTTATAATGGTTAATGCCATGGCACATTTACTTGGAGCAGGTTTTACATCTGTTGGTGGTGGAAGCCCAACATCAGGTTGTAGAACATCCATCACACCATACTGTGAAAACTGGAAATCTTCAGTTACCTCAGCAGCTACTTCCTCTCTGGATAATGACTGGTCTTGTTTTTCCCTGCCTCTATACATCCATTTTATTATGCAATAAGAAAGGAACCATATTAACATGGCAAAGACACAGGTTGCCAAAACAACACATGTCCAGTTCAGCAATACATTTGCACTGAATGATTGTTCTTGACTGAAACTGATAACTTTAACACATTCATCCTCAATGACAATAGCATGCTTCTCTAAACGAGCTGTCTCATCCTGCGGGCTTTTAAAGAAACCCTGGATTTTTCCCCATAGTGATGATTCTGATGCTGCTGTTTCAAACACATCCTCATCTTCCTCATCCACAACTTGAATCACATCTGGGTCCTCAACATCTATCCTTGATGTTGCATTGTGGAAACTACACTGATACAGGACAAACACAAGAGAGACATTGTAGTACAAATTCTCATCAACAGGAAACAGGGGCTCCATTTTCACACCTGAAAAATACGATGCAATATTTGTTTAACATTTGTGTTAATCACAGGCATGGTTCCTAGTATTTAAGATCAGCATTAGCTCAATTATATTTTCCAACTTAAGCAGGTGCCCAAGTGTCTAAAAGAAGGAACTTTGTCCTCCTTGACAAAATCACAGACTTAGAAGATGGCATCACCATGTTCTCAGAACTTCAAAGCTTTTTTACATGGAAAATAACAAAATCATTGCGTAGGCTATACAGAAACTGTTCATGGAGTTCTCTAACTGATGCATATTTTTGTTTTTCATAATTGAATACTTCCTTATAATTTCAAAAAATGAATGTTCCACAGTTGTGATACAAACCATACTGTACACAAGGTGAGGAGATTGTCTGTTGCTTTCATGAGACAGAAGGAATATAAGCACTTCTACCCTCTTGACGAGTGACATCTGACAGTTTCGACTGTTTATAGAATTGAAGCAATAACTCAGATCGTACTACTCAGTATAGTCTCTCGTACAGACCCTGAAGCAAATATATCCAAGAAAGCCCACGCAAGTCTAGAAAATGTGGCAAGTCTAGATTTCCTCAGCTTCAAATGAAGAAAGTCTCAGGGCTCCTTTTCATTATATATATTTTTTTACTTTGAACTTTTTTTCAGTAAAATATGTTCATTTCAGAGACTTGTTGTTAGTCTATACTCAGTACTCTCGCGTAATTTGTGACTAGATTACAAACAAAGTATTTTATCGAAATTGCTGAGAACGGGTCACCTTTATATGTGTGCGGTGTTTCAGAAATAGTACTGTCCCCATATATGGAGCTGGTATTTAATATATGTCACTGTCCTTCGCTGCTCAGGAATCCGACCCTTGGTCCGCATGTGAATTTATTAACCGCCCTAAGATTACACAAATGTGCGTCTAATGGTATCGTCTATGTTGATATCACTTAATAAATTGGCACGTGCTGTTTAACTAGTTAACCACATTACTGTCAGGCAAAATGGTGGTCAAATTTTCAAACAAACTTACGTTACTGTCTTGTGCCATTTGTTGGTAAATAGAATCCACCATAGAGTTACTCCCCTTGATAAAGGGACATTACTTGCTAAAATTCATAATTTGAATACCACAAACAAAACACACACCTTATCCATTCGTGGTCTATTTAATTAAATCAATTGCGCAAAATTTAATCCAATATTGATGTCAGTTTTTTGGTTTTGTTGTTGGTGTAGTTGTGCATAATCAAGTGGAAGTCCGTTTTCTATCTGATATCAGAGTGCCTATTATATGGGTTCTGCTGATACATAAAGGTATGATATAAAATGTATAGAGATAGAAGTTATTCGAAAGTTATGAAATTGAGTTTACTAATTTTCGCTGTATATAGGGTATATATGTATACTAAAATGATATAAAATGTTGATCTTCAGTGGTTATGTTCGTTATTTCATAAGCAAGAGTAACTAAATTAAAGGTAAGGTAAGTTAATGTCGTGCTGGTCGCGTGAAGCGCCCCGGTCATATGAACCTAAGAAGCTGTGTTCCAATGTATTGGGTATATTTTATGTAGTTTTACTATGAGGAGTGAGTGTGTTTAGTTTTACGCCGCACTCAGCAATATTTTCTTGCTATGTGGCGGCGGTCTGTAAATAATCTAGTTTCGACCAGACAACCCAGTGATCAAACAGCATGAGCATCGATCTACGCGATTGAGATAGGATGACATGTGTCAGTCAAGTCAGCGAGCCTGACCACCCGATCCCGTAAGTCGCCTCTTACTACAAGTATGGGTTTACTACGATGAACTGGGAGTGACTGGAATCTGTAGTTTTATGATAACGTGTCAGTAGCGAGGGGGAAATGGGGAGTAACGGCGCGTTAGAGAATATCTTACTTTAATAGTCAGGTGCATGATCGTATGTATCGTTTTTTGTGCTAGTCCAGACTGTAGACTATGGTATATGGTGGAGGTCCACAGTTCAACGTACAACGATTTTCAGACACAGTATGATGAGTATCTATGACGGCGGTCTGTAAATAATAGCCTCTGGATTCGACAATCCAGTGATGAGCGATCTACGCTAATGGGATACGGTGACATATGTCAACCTGATCTATTGTGAAAACATCAATTAACATCATCAGCCTTAGTTTAACTGTATAAACACACATTTAGTCGTGCATATATATGGGTGTTGGCCAGGAAAAGCGCCATTTCAATGTTTAGTATACAGTGTATACAATGTTTAGTAACATTAGACATAGCATACTCGGAAGGCAAGTTTTCCGGATACCTGAGGTTCGGATAAACGGAGCACGACTGTACAGCGTCAAACCAGGTTCTGTCGGGTATTGCCGGGAAAGATAAAAGGCTCGCATAATACAATTTGTATTCCTGATAAAATGATTAAATTAATGATACGGAAACGCACTCGGTTAATAGCGTTTGTAGCCTTGAATGATTTTACGGCAGCTTTTGCCATCCTGCCAGATTTCGTTTAATAATCACAAAATTTTCATCGAGAAACGTCATCTGAACAATTTAACTGCAACTCATCAATACTACTTCCAACATGTATATGAACAGCAAATATTGTGTAAATGCTTCTGTGCTGCAGTATAGGTCAGTCTCACAGTACACTGAACACTGCAGACATGAGGCAAGCAGCTCTGAAGGAACTACTTTTGATTTTTTTTGTTACCGCAACTGTCAAAATGGCAGAACACATATGTAAATGTTCCCACTCAATCATAATCATAAGTCATATTTATTGCCACATGATGGTGACTGTCAACTGAACACAGCCATGCACATGCAACCCCCATGGGGTGTAATGGTTAAAGCGGTCAAAGACCCACGTTCTATTCCCCACATGGGTACAATGTGTGAAGCCCATTACTCGAGTTCCCTGCCGTGATATTGCTGGCATAAAACTAAAGTCACTCACTCGCTCTTGTGAAGCCACTGCATACATAGGTTGAAAGGTAGCAGCAGAAAACGGAGATCTTCACTGGTTCCTGTCAAGTAATTACCCATGTTTTACATCTGATTTTACTTGGCATAGATGCTTAGTGTAGTTTGCCATTTTTGGAGTATCTATGTTGTTGTTTTAACAAAATGTTTACCAGTGTCATTTTCATGCACATATGTAAACTTATCGATTAGGAGCAAGATATTGCCTGCAATAGACAGTGTTCAATAATGTAAGCTGACTGACACACCATTTGGTCAGGGCAGTCAGATGACAGCCCATGGACATTATACAAGGCAGCCATGGCTGCTCTCAGTTGCTTTTTTAGTTCACCACGTCCCCAATGCTTTCCTCACTTTTACCAAGAATATAGAAGCCTTGGTGTTGATAAGGTCAACCATGCACAACCTTCTATAAAGGTGTTACAGACGTTGACACAGGAAGAAAGAGGCCAGGAAGTATTTCCTCAGTTAAACACTGGTCTTGATTTAAACACCATGCAGTGATTATGCACAAATCCTCCCCATTTCATCCAAGCAATTCAATGCCTGGGGTAAAGACCGTCACAAACAGATATACAACATAGGCGGATCCAGGTGTGTGTGTGTGTGTGTGTGTGTGTGTGTGTGTGTGTGTGTGTGTGTGAGAGAGAGAGAGAGAGAGAGAGAGAGAGAGAGAGAGAGAGAGAGAGAGAGAGAGAGAGAGAGAGAGAGAGAGAGAGAGAGAGAGAGAGAGAGAGAGAGAGAGAGAGAGAGAGAGAGAGAGAGAGAGAGAGAGAGAAGAGGGGTGCATGCGCGCGCACACACACCCTCTTTGTCCTGAAAGTTTATATATTCAAAGAAATTTTGTATTTAATCTATTAACAATGGAATCCTCGTATGATCAATTCAAAGTGTTTTATTCAATCAATTGACATAATTATCTGGCAATCACATACATGGATGTTCCAAGTAATACACAGACATGTTGGTAAACACTGGACTGTTAATTTCATTATAGCTACACATGATCATACACATACATTAAAACTGTATTGCCATGTTTTTTAAAGACGTAAGGACTAGTTTCCTATAGGATTGAGCATCTTTTCTGTACTAACTTGCACAAGCATCGCAACCACCACCGCTGGCTCATAATCTCAACATGTTTAATATACTACAAAAATATTTCACTCAATATCTCTTATAGTGAAAACATTTGTTTCAGGACATATGTTAATATGCGGTCAAATAATTAAATATCAACTCAGTTTTTAGGTTGTGTAATATTAACAAGTGGATCATTTCAGAATTTCAAGGATGCAGTATTTGTTCCTGTAGATGGACCAACTTGGCAAAATAAGCATCTAGTATATTTAAAAGTGAAACTGTGAAGTACAAAACTATTGTGTGATCTGCAGTGAACTGTCAGCACTTAATACAATTTTAACACCAGTTTCAAAGAAATCAAAGTTCAATGTCATTACAAAGGATGAATTGTTACTCACAGCACGAAATAGACAGACAATGAATTCTTTCAAAGACAGAAAACAGACGAACACAAAAACTTGATTCCCATCCTTGATTTAGCTGTCAACAGACTGGACTAGTTCCGGTTTGAGACCCAGTTAGTGTTCCTGCTACTCCACAAGAGGACAGAACACAGAGTAAGACAAGGACTGGAGAAATCTGTACAATTCTAGCGGTTATCCTACTTCACATAAAATGTACAACAAGTTATATCATTTAAATATACACAACCATTGTTGGTACCTACATCACAGTCAGCCATCTGAACACCCAACCACTTCTTGCCACCATCAGGTTTTCAAGTAATACACTGAAGACACCATGCAAGATACCAAGATTTAGTCCTTGTTTCACAAAGTGATCACAGCATGAAGGACATCGTAACTCCCATACTAAACATAAGACTTACGACTGTCGTAGCGCTATGATCACTTCATGGAACGGGGTCCTGGTGATACTCTGAAACTTCTCAGAAAGATCTCCACCATAATGACTCAAGTAAATATACAAAGATAAAATGAATGATTCCACACATCTTTTATGACATTGCACCTGCTTGAAATGATGCTTAAGTGGTTGCTTTGCTGTACAATAATCCACCTTGACTCCTAAGTCTTCGGGTATTTGCAGCTAGATCATGTCATCCTCAGTTACGGTCAGAGAGAGTGTCAATATTGAATCACCCCAAAACAGTTTGATATCTAGTTATTCCATGTTAATGAAGTATTGTGAAGCATAAGGCTAAACTTAGTCATCTTTAGTTAAAAAGGATTTCAAATGAATAACTGAAATCTTAGCAATGTAGCTTTATTCAAAATTTGGTCTCTAGGAGGCTGAACAGGTTAGCCCAATGTCTTTGCAGACTTCTCACTAGATGCTAAATCAGTTCCCTAATGTTAGTCCACACCCAAACCATTTCAACAAAGCCATCGTCATTTTAAAACTGAGGAGTTTACACAACTGAGTGTTGAGATCGATTGATGAACATCTCATGAAACGAGGGTTTAACTTCAAAAGGAAATTAATATTTGCATGGATTTGAGAGAACTAGAAGCTACTACACTTTCATGGAGACTAAAATGGCTTTGTGAAGCAGGGCCTAATCCCATGAAAGGATCATGTAAATATCGTATCTCACTGTAACATCACAGTATTTGCAAAGCAAGGCTTACTGAGTGGAATTGGACAAAGTCTGTTTCAAACTCAGGCAAGGCCATCCAAAAAAACATCCACATAAAAACCAAAACATGTTTCACATAAAAGAAAATTATGGGACAAGGTTTTCAGAATTTCTCTGAAGTACCTGTAGACTCACATATCATACATATTTACCCTCCCATCAATTGATGGTTTTACATACTCCAATACGAATATCTATATCATTCCCAGGATATTTACATCTGTACATAATACTGTTCTTCAATTACTCAGCAAGGACTACAAGTGACCAACTGCAAGTATGTACACACTCAAACCTTGTGAGCACTATGTATAGGGCGGAAAGCTTTCAACATAAGACTGAACTTGACTACATGGAGATTAACAATGGATACAATCAACAATATGTAACAATCAACAATGGCTGTGACAGTATTTATCCTTAGGAGATATGGTCCGCCCGACCTTGGTGTGATGGTGTGACCATGTTGAGATCACACACAGCTCCACAGGAACCAACAAGCACCACAGAGGCAATAACAACTTGAAGAAGTTGTTAGCCATCAACGTTTGTCTACTTTGTTGAAGGAATTCATCAAGATTGACACATGGGGGAAGTAGTATCATTTGCCTACAGCTCAATCGAGAGCGCATCAGTGTGTAAAAGATCAGAGACAAAGCTACACATGTATATAACTGAAGAAAAAAAAGGTAAAGAACACTCTTGATTTCACTATAGTTAATCTCTCATGGCAATTACCTCATGTCTACCTGACTGTTCAGTTAAGACTACATAAGAGGTGAGTTAGGGACACTCTAAGCATGTGACTGAACACTTAACTTACAGGTGTGTACCCCACCCACCCCATTAGAGCAGGATGGTTGAGGAAACTCATGAGTCCATGTTTTTTCTTCTGTTAAAGAGGATAATATATTCAGGTTAGAATGTAATGTTCAAAGGGGGAGGTGGTAGGGTGTTGTCCCCCATAAACTCCAACCCAGATGCTCCACTGCATAGTATCATTAAATACTGAAACCTTGGACACTTCTAGGTGCCACTCAAGGTGATTGTAACTGCCACACATTAAGATAGACTTACAACTGTCATAGAGCTAGGGTTGCTTTGTACAACAGCACCTGGATCTATTCAGTAGAGGTCAAGTTATCAGTACTTTGAGTGAGTGAGTGAGTATGATTTTAAGCCCCTTTTAGCAATATTCAAGCAATATCACGCGGGGTACACCAGAAATGGGCTTCACATATTGTGCCCATGTGGGAATCAAACCCGGGTCTTAGGCGTGACGAGCCAACGCTTTAACCACTAGGCTACCCCACCGCCCCATCAGTACTTTGAGATAAGATGAGGACTGGTGTAAAACCATAGAAGTGATGATCATTTTGTAAGGATCATATCTTTACATATTCTCTATCAGTAAGTCAGGATAGTTTACTAGGTTCACAGTACACTGTATGCATTGATTATTCTAACTGGAACAACCAGGGAATAACAACTACTTAATATTATTTTCTTATAACCAAGTCAGAATCAATGTGGTGTAATATATCACACAGCAGAGACTCACATCACAATAATCTAATATTGAAGCAAGTCTAACTTCTTGCCCTAGTCAGTACTCCAGTAACATGTCAGCGTGTCATCTGTATGTGGGTAGGAAAGCCCAAAGTGATGCAGGTCTAAGACGTGAACCACTTTGGTAACACAAACAGGCAGAGGAACAGTGCCGACAAACCTGGAACTAAAATCAGGGAGAACAGGGAATCGAACCCAGGATCATAGATTTCTGCACAGCAAATTGCAGCATCCACGCTCCTTTTTACCCAATGAACTGTTTCACTTTCCAAACATCAAGGAAAGCAGCTTTATCTTTTCAGTTTCTTTCATGAAAAGATTATGACAAATGAACTGGTTCAGAAGGATGATATCCTAAAGATGAATCTATATAGGTTAAGGAAAAGTGTTTCCACATTTCACCTCAGGAGCTGATGATCTCACAATCCCTTTAGCTAATAGCCAAGAGACAACTTTCACATAGTATACACACAGTGAAGGTGCCTTTCCAAAATCAAACACAAATGAATCTATGCAGAATACTACAATGATGGTTGATTTGCCTATGGGTAAATGATAAAACATACTTCAGTTAATCCTATATCCCAAACTGTACCTGCTGAAAATCTTAACCAGTTCTCGGTACATAAACTGATGGCATGACATGTCCATCCCGTATGCCATGGGAATAGCATCTAGGCACATAGCTCCCAGATATTGATAAGAAGCCTTGACTATGAGATCAAAGCAAAATAAAGGCTACTAAATTATGCAGGGTTCCGTTTTTGTCCCCACTTCCAAAACAGCGATGTAAGCATACTATGTTATCTTTCTCCATTTCCTTCAAGTACACTCCAGAATATAACATTATCTTCATATATCTTGACCCAACATACACTAAGTTCAAAATCTTGGCTTAGATATCAAACATTGCCATGACATGGGAGCAACCTTACCTCTTTCATTTTGTAGGAAACAGTAGACTAAAATGTACAATTATTACGGGATGGGAGGAGGATACAAATACTGTTAGGGACTTGTTGTAAAGCATCCTAGCTTACGACATCATACATAGGTAGAGCTGAGAACCGCTCTGATCTTGAAGTCAGTCTTATCTACAGGAGCCACACATACACCAGGATCATCAAAAACTAAACACAAAATAAGAAATCTGTCAATAAAAACTTACAAACCTTGAAAACCAAAGGTTTTAGGTTTCATAAAAGGATTTACTTTTACAATCATGAAACGAAAGTCCAGCAAAGCTGACACTGGTAAAGAAGTTAAATGTCAAGAAAGTGACTCGTTGGCATGAAACCCACCCATGGAGGAGCCCACCATGAAATACACAGAGAAAAAAGTCAAACAAATAACTCAACTGTGATCAAGTTAAATCCCACAGAAAAACCATTCATTATAAACCGATGGAATGATGAAGAATAACAAATCTATGTAAGTCGTGCATTGTTTCCAGGAAACAAATTGTGAGAAATAGTACAAGAATAACACAGCCAAGTTGAACATGCTGTGACACAAGTCACTGTGGCTGTTCAGCCCTCGAGTGTCACAGTAAAAAATATGAGACCAACAGTTCTCGTATATTCTAAAGTTGGAGAAATGTTCCACACTTCCGCGACAGAATCCTCTAGAATTCACTGCACGGTACTATTGCTTTAGAAGTGTTATCTCTGTAATATTACACATGTGTCATATCACTATTATTCCATACTCCTGTATTGTAACGTATTGGCAATATTCCACTTCCTCTGTTTATGTAGTAACTGATTGGATTCTCTGTTGAAGCAAGAGCAATATCACACCTCAAGCTCCCCGAAGACCTTTCGGCACCAGATGACTCCCTCGCCTCGAGGTTTGTCATCATTTTGAAGCCTCCGAACATCTGCCGGGTTCAACTTGTCAAATGCCAAGGAAAACTCACGATCAAATGCATCTGAAAAGAAAGAATTTAATATTAAACCAATTTTATTTGCAACATGAAAAAACCCACTTGCACTCACTTTAGCTTCCTATTGATGCAATAAAAAACTTATCATCCCTTACGACTTGCCTGAAATCGTTAATTGAAACTTCGAGGCAAACAGCTTCCGAACACATAACACTTGCCATATATGGAATGTAAACAATTGATCCCTACATCGAAAACTGTCGCATGTGGTGTTGTCTTTGTTTGCTGAACTGGTTTCAATCACAAGTTGTGTGTAGGATATTCATAAAGAGCACTCCAAGGGACATAACTCTATGGGGTTCGCTTGAAATAATGTTCGGCCGGTAGAGGACTCGAGAGTCGATTTAATGCAAAGTTGCATTAATTCATTCAAACTTTTAAATTTAATATTTTAATCAAAATACTTAATTTTTTGGGGAATAAATTATATGGTAGCTTCCCTGAGGGCTAATAGTTAGTATTATTGAGAGAAATGCATTATGTATTTTAGAGAAATGTGGTGACATTGTGCATTTAAAAATTAAATAGAAAGTTGGGATTCACATGCTTGATCATGAGTAATCTTAAAGCTGTTTTGTCTAACTAATCTGGTAAACAACACATAATATCATACGATACAAGGAAACCTATTGCTTGAGACTGCTATTGGGACTGTCCATGTTTCATCACTATGATAACCATTCTGAAACATGTCCCATCAAGGCAATGAGCCAGTACCCCTTTATTAACACTGATGATGGAAATAACCTTAAAATGGTCCATGTTAAAATGTTAGTTATCAGATTATTCAGATACAATTCTACCCCAATGTTAGAATGATTTCTTTTGATGGTGCCCTTGACCCTAAGAATCTAAGAATGTTTAAAAATCGCAATAACACTTTGTAGAACACTTTCAGTTAGTTTTCTGTTATGAAAAGATGAAAATCTCAAAAGATAAACTGCAAGAGTGAGTGTGTGAGCGAGTTTAATTTTACGCCGCACGCCGCAGCAATATTCCAGCCATATGGCGGCAGTCTGTAAATAATCGAGTCTGGACCAGACAATCCAGTGATCAACAGCATGAGTATCGATCTGCGCACTTGGGAACCGATGACATGTCTCAATCAAGCCAGTGAGTCTGACCACCCGATCCCGTTAGTCACCTCTTACGACAAGCATGGGTTACTGAAGATCAATATTCTACCTGGCCCTTCACGGGTAATAAACTGCAAGATAATTAGTCGAGAAATTGGAGATAATTTATGTCAATACATGCATCTATATTCTTATTTCTACTCACCATGATCAATATTCTCTCTGCCACATGCAATAAACGCCAAAAACAGAATCTCTCGGTACAGACTCCGGAACTGGTGTTTCTTCTGCCGATGTCGCCGTCTGTTGTTCATGATCAGCTTGATTGGTGAAAGGACATCATTGCATTGAATACTGGAGATGATCTGGTGCATTTGTCTGTAACACAATACCAGAAGATGTGTCAACACGAGCTGCACCTAGGAGGGACAACACCATTAGATGTGTCCAGAAAAGGGTTAATATGGAAGTCACTAAATGTCACAACTTGGCCTAATGAAATACAGTACACTACATTTATATTGAACATGCTTAAAATGCATTGACAAACAAGTGTTTGCCACTGATATGGCTATGTCCCCCGCCGCTAAAGAATGGAATATTTATAACACATTTACTTCTTTATATTTTTTGGTCACATACAAGATGCCTGAAATGACTGGTGTCTGCATAAACACCCAATGTAGGCTGTCGACATAATTGAAGACATTGGGTGCAATGTTTTATGAGATATCGCGTTAACAAGAGTTTCAAAATGGTCAAAGTGTCATGGTGACCTTGAAGATAAGGTCAAGGTTACCCAAATCAACTGGTGTCTGCGTAATCCCCAAAGTAGGCTGTCACCAAATTTGAAAACATTGGGTACAACAGTTCATGAGATATCCCGTTAACAAGAGTTTCAAAAGTGGACAATGTCTCGTGGTGACCTTGAAAATAAGGTCAAGGTCACCAAAATCGACTGGTGTCGGGGCAATCCCCCAATGTAGGCTGTCACCAAATTTGAAGACATTGGGTAGAACAGTTCATGTGATATCGCGTTAACAAGAAACTGGACGTACGTACATAGTCCCCCGTTCTGGCAGGGGACAATAAGAACTGATTTATGGGTGCTGCGACCACTTCGGTATGTTTTAGCCAAAATTTGAATTAAGAATTCATAACAAACTAAAATCTGTGGTCCTTCGAGTTTGTTATAACTATAGTTTACTGTGCAGAATGACACAGCCAGATATATGAGACATGTGCCAAAGTTAATGAATGAGGAGGGACATCACCAGATGAAAACTACTAAAGATAAGGCTGGATATGCTTAATACAGTCTAAAATGAGCCCCATTTTGAGACAGGAGCCTGAAGACTATACTCACGCTCGACTGAATGGCTGGGATTCTGTCACAAGAGCATCCACCACGGTAGACCGATGACCTGTTCAACAGAAGAGCCAGGGGTTTCAAAATGACTGAAGGGATAAGCAGCTTCCATGGACATCACATCAGACACATACCATAAATGGTTTCACATGATGAATACATGTGGGGATAATATTTGCAAATAGGAAGAACACTGAAGCAGTCTGAGTCAAAAATGTTTAGGTACACTTGTCGAATAAACACTCTTCACATCATTTTCAGCAGATGTATAATGTCAATTTATTACCTACGAGGGCGAACATATCGGGGGTTCATATTTTTCATACGATGCCCTAGGGCAAAATATTACTTTGTTATGGTGATGTGATGTCATGAACAAGGCTATGACGTCACGTTTCTTCTGTTCTGCCTTTGTTTGAAAGTAGATTTGGGTTATTTTCCTCAATTTGACGACTTCGGTAACAAACAGAATATTATATTCGTGCCCATATCATACTATGTTTACGACACTCGTGCCTAAATATCAACATTTAGGCACTCGTGTCGTAAACATAGTATGACATGGGCACGAATATAATATCCTCTATATACTGCCTTTTATTATCTGAGCTTACTAAGCCAAACAGACATTTAACCATTGTCAGGATTTGGACTACTGGTTCAAGTCTATTGTAGACATCAGGTTCTCGTTATTTACCTTGTTATTTATAACATGCATGTTGAGTTTCTTAACCATTTATGTACAATATATGAACATATATTTGTAAACTGATATCAGCTGGCATGGGGATCTGTGAATACAGACAAGCCACTCATTTGCAACTGCACGAAATCTTACTTTAGTTTTCACAACTTGTCATAATGTTAAACAACAAATCTCAGTTCAGTAATTAATGATGGTGTGATGAAGTATACTCCGAACGTACCTGCGTTCCAGGCTGTGTACATGGGCAGTCCCATCTCATCATGTATACGTGTGTTGTCCCACATCGGGCGGATCAGTACGTGCCGTCTGTCGTATAGGTTGTCATGTTTCAACCCCTGAAAAGCCGTACACACAAGGTTAGCAGTCTGAGGTATAATACTGAGAGAAATCCCCTCACAAATGGAGAAACTGTGTACACAGCTAGGATCAAGGAGAGGATATTGTGCTGACACATATCCAGGATGGACCATGATGTATCAGCATCCTGGTCATCATCAAGTGAAGCAAGTCAGTTTTGTGTCACGAAATAATGAGAAAAAACTAAGAATGTGACAAACTTCTTGCTAATGATACCACTCCAATCAGTACAAAAAGCTGCCCACCTCAGACGGTATTGTGATGGTCTTGGCAGTCAGGAGCAGTCCTGGCAGATGACTAGGAACTTCAAGTCGTCGGAAGTACCAGATCTGAAATAAAGAAGACACAGAATGTCTAATAGAAACAAGCATCTGAACATCTGCTCATAATTTTCTTCTTGAAAGCATTTCAATGCACTGTTAGTTCAAGTTTCAAACTTTTCTTCAGAAGATAAACATCTTTGAATGGGACTGATTAACAAATCCTATCAAGCAGTTTTTCACAGGTTTAGTAGTGTTGTCTGGTAACTAAGATACAGTAACAGATTCTATCTACTATTCACTTGGTTGATGAAGACTTGATAAACTGTACATGCAAGTACATGTCACGTACCAAGTTCCAGAAGATGATGGGATGTTCATCTACAAATGTGTCCGCCATCAGACCTTGGTCTCCCTCGTGCTCCAACACATACTCCAACTCCTTCCGCAGCACCAGTGGACTCAGATATGGCACAACAATTGGCGGGATGGAACATGCAGACCTTCAATAAACAATCCACATTCTCCCTCAGTAATAACCCTGAACGACTGGATAAGATGAATGATTTAGCTGGGATTAATGCTGCTATGGGAAGCATTCAGTTATTTCAGGACGTGTAAGCTAAATGTGAGGGACAAGACCAAAGTGATGTAGGTTTAGGGCTGGGACGATACACTATGTCACGATACGATACATATCGCGATATTTTACCTGCGATACGATACGTATCACGATACATACACCTTGAAAGAATGACACAGTATTAAGATTTAAAATGATTTACTTCAAGGTATTTGTGTATAACAATAATACTATTGTAATAAACAAACAAATAACTATATCATACTTGCGTATTTTTCTCTAAATATGTACTTTATCATGTTTAAGATAATATTGTTTTGAAAAAATGTCGTTTATCGTTTTGTATCGATACACCAGCCGACGATACGATAGCTGTATCAAACTTTAATGTATCGCGATGTATCGGTGCATCGGTGAATCGTCCCAGCCCTATGTAGGTTATAGACTTTACCTGAGCAGGTCAAACTCATTAATATGGACATGTTGCCAAAAGACTTGGGATTTCTGAACACTCACAATATGCTGATCTTGTACTTTAAGTGCGGTTCCTACAGAAAATTAGGCAGCAAACTGAAACTGATGACATTTACTACTTTTGTGAAACCAACAAGCTTTGGAATGGATAAACCGGGAATCATTTTGAGGGAAAATCTGGGATTTGAATCCACAAAGTTCCTGCATGCAAGGGAGGCAACTCTGAACAGCAAACTGCGGTACCACTGACAACTTTGATACCCTGTGTCTGTAAATTATTGAATCCCCCAAATTCCCTGTTGTGTTTTGCCAAATGATTTACTGCATTATGGCCATACCTTGCCATGAAGTCTTTCTTCATTTCGGGAACTGCAGAGGGCGATGTTGGTAGTTCTTCCTCTTCACCTATGGAAATGCTCAATGGTGACCTCATTGGCCTGTAGTTGAACCCGTCTACTGACTCCAGCGAGGAACCGAAGGAGGTGTTATCAGTTGCGTGTGTCAGACATTCACTGGTTGTGCGCGCCGTCTGGCTTCAATAGCAGCATCAAAGAATGCTGGATCTTTTACAGAAGGACTCATAGACTTGAGCTGGTGTTTTGGACCAGCATCTTCTACTGGACTGTCTGCTCGGTTATCAGGACTAGTGAGTGGACTAGGAGTGAGTGGACCATCCAGCTCCATGGCTTCACCGATCATAGGAGGGATGTCACAACTTGACAAGGACGAGTTTGAGCTTAGCTGCCTCTCCACAGAGTTTGGAGGCTTTAGATGACTGTCAGAACTACAGGTGAGATCTCCCATTGGATTAGAGGTATCTTTCACAACAGGACATTTCCCTGTGCCTCGCCAGTCCTGAAAACAGATGCATTACCTAGTGTTAATGGTCCTATCTTTAACTAGTCTCTTCCCCCAAATGAATAATTAATTATGATGATGATGACTTGAATTCAACATTTCAGGACTCAAAATGTCTCTTGCCAGCATACATGTACTTGGTAATAAAATATCCATAGGTTTATCCTTGCTTCTGTAGGGTTCACTCACTAGGGCTACAGATATGAAGGTTGCATGTATAAGAAAGACATTTGTTGTTTAGTTTTATACAATTCAGCACATATCCCTATGAAAACTGGGTTCAAATACAAAGGTGCGTCTATACCATATCCCTTGGACAGAGGGATAATCCGGGGAAAGTCAATGAGAAGTTATTTAATATACTGAAGGTCCCGTAAAACAGTAGGATGACCTCACAAAAGATTTATACCCAGCCATTGAGAAGAAAAGGAATATGCTGTATCAGAGCTACATTTGTGCTTTCCTAACAAGTGTAATTACCTTAACATAAATCTGAAGATGTGGAACAAATTTGGCAGGACAGAAATGGCAGCTGAAATAGATAAAACATTTCATCAATAGTGAGTGAGTGAGTTTAGTTTTATGCTGCACTCAGCAATATTCCAGCTATATGGCAGCGGTCATTTCATCAAGAACACAAAATACAACTTCACAAAAAAAAATTGTAAGTGGATACAATGAAAGTTGGATACTGCAAATCATCAGCAATAACACATGTTACTTGCAGCCGATTGCAATCTTCACACATTTAGAGTGAGTGAATGAATATTGTTAAGTCAATCTCATCAAATGAGATCCTAGGTCTCACGACGGCTACAGAGAGATCTGAAAACATCCCATTTCAGGCAAAGCGGGAACGACCTTTTGCAAACACTGACCAAGCAAGTAACAGGAACTAAACATTAGCCAATCAGAAAGCAGTTCTAATTTAGCTTTCAAATCATGCATAAGGTACTTCGGGCTTATTCTGAACATGAATCTGCATGAGAGAGAATATTTAAAGCCATTGATCGCAAAGACAGAGAATGTTGAATATCTTGTGCTCTTTATATCCAATTTTGGATATATATCACACTTAAGGTGGTCACTGTATTATTCCATCTAAAAAGTACAATAGATGTAAGAAGTTGAAGCATGACTTAAATATGGAAGTCAAGAAACAGGTTTCTACCTGGTATTGAGATTGGAATCATCTGCAAACCAGCCGGCCATTATTTCCTCATCATATACAAGACAATGACAGCGGGTACACCTGGAACAGCTGCTGATTTCAACCTCCATGGCGATGTTGGTAGGAGAGGCGAGGATCCTCTCTAGCGGGGATGTTGACTTGAGGCTGTCACTGCTGATATCTTGCATCATCGGTGTGTACTTCTCCATGTAGGATGGTGAGGGGGCACTTCCTGTAAAGCAAACCATGACATTATTCTTTCCATCCAAATGAGAATGAGGAGATGATTTGTGTGTAAAGCTCTTTTGAACAGTAATTTCATGAAATCATGAGGTCAAGTTATGCAGGTTCACACTGGAGCAACATAAGTAAGCATGTATATAGTGCCACCAAACCAGTGAACCATAATAAGCATTCAGTAACTACTCGTGTCATTCCGGCAAGCGTCTCGTACCCCTCACGTGGCAATGGTTACGACTGGGCCTGTCTATGCGTAAACGGGCATGGAGATGAAAATATAGTATAGTACTATTACAAAGGAAAGATAACCCTGAATTTCCAAACATGGCTCATAGAGTATCCTATATCCCGTGGGCAAAACAGCAATACAGTCATTCCCTTTGTAAATGTGTTTCAGTGTTTAAAGTTTCTGATCATTTAGCTCAAAGTTTATGTTTAAATTGTGCTTTGCATAGTTTAGCAAAGTTTCAAAGTTCAACGGCGCCGCCATTTTCATGCTTCGAAAATTTACTACGCGCGATTAGATTGGTTTGCCACGATTCTTGGCAATAATGGCGTACGATAGGGGTACGAGTCTTCTTGTAGGTCATGAAAAGAGGCGAGTAGTTACGAATGCCATAATAAGGTGAATCTGAGACTGGAAGCCAGAAACAGCAGATCTGGCTTGGCTAAGTTAGATAATTCTCAAGAGTAAGTGAGTGAGTTTAGTTTTACACCACACTCAGCAAATATTCCAGCTATATGATGGGAGGTCTGTAAATAATCGAGTCTGGTCCAGACAATCCAGTGACCAACAGCATGAACATCGATCTACGCAATTGGGATACAATGTAATTCTCAAGAGTGGGTGAGCGAGTATGGTTTGACGCCCGCTTTTAGCAATATTCCAGCAATATCATGGTGGGGGACACCAGAAATAGGCTTCACACACTGTACCCATGTGGGGAATCGGGACCCAGTCTTTAGCATGGAGAGCGGACACTTTAACCATTAGACTACCCCACCGCCCCGTAATTCTCAAGAACAGATAGTAGCATATTAGACCATATGGCTACCTGTGTCCCGAAACAGTTCAAGCAAAAGTGAGAATATTGTTTTCTATTTGTAGTGACACTCAAACAGAGCTACAAAAGAAATCATACAAATCATATAGATAAAAAAAAGGGGCTATTCATGCAACATATATACAGCTAAAAAGAAGCGTCAAAGCTAAAGCATATAGCTATTTATGGAATTAGTCAACTATGGGATGAAGGAGTACATGCAATAGATTGTAATGAAACCCCAAATGCATATAAATTGAACCGGAAGACCGTATTGACATGTCAGTGTGAAGACGCTCACCAAATGACAGCTGTGAAGCCTTCTGGTTCATGCTGTCAGAGCTGCTGTCTCGACTGAGTAAATCCTGACTCCCTCCAAACCTTCGCTCATGAACCGTACTGTTGCTTTCATCGTCTCCTGTGCCACTGTCACGTTCCTCTAGAGACTTGGCAAGGGATGTGTTGGACCCAGTTTTGCTGGGTGTTGTGATAGACTGCTTCAACTCATTGAATTTACTGAAAGCTGCCTTTGCTGCAAACCTCAGAGCACCACCAATGACTTCATTTGTTTTTCTCAAACTCTGTGTCCTTCTTAACACAAAATCTGTCGGCCTGGATCGCTTTTCTGGAGTTTCATTTAATGATAACGAAGAATTAATTGGAGGGTCTTCCTGAACACTTTGACTTTTCCCCGGCATCGTTCGAACCTTTCTCTCGGCTTCCCCAAGGCAATCTGGAGAGCTACTAGTCCTTCCTACATCACTCAGTTTCTTAACAGGTCCTGATGCCGTGCTCACATTATTGCATGGCATATCACTGTCCAGACCATTACTTTTCCCACTATTGCACTCAGAATACAAATGTTCACTTTCTGATGTCCGTTTATTTTCATCTATTGTTGCAAATGGTGTACTACAGAGGAATGACCTATTTTCTGGAGACGTTACAGAGTTGTCTCCCTTCTTGTTTATCAAAGTAACTTCTGAAGCACCATCAGGATCTCTGAAATGTCCAAGAGGGTCATTTTCTGTGACTGGTGTGCCTGAACCTTGAGATGGACTCTTACTTGTGGCTGTGGGGGTGGCTTCTTCTCCACATCCATTCACCATTTCAACATTAATAGTCAATGGAACAGAATAATTGCACTCAGGGTCAGATTTGGCTTGACTCTCTTTACTTGTCTGACTATCTTCCCCTTCACTGCCTGTCTGGACATTTTCATCCAGCTCCACCCCACTGTCCTTCACATCCTCCTCCTTGACGCCTATGAAGACAGACGTGTCCCCCTTCAGCACTTCACCTGCCTTATCCTTCAAAACAAGCTCCGAGAAGCGCATTGATACTTCACCATCGGCAGTCAGGTGACGTGGGCGCCAACTTGCAAATAAACTGTTGGAACGACCTTTTCCTTGATATTCTCCTGCACTTTTGTGACGTTTGCGCTGCTTGTCTGCTATTGTGTCGAGATCTTCTCTAATTAATGCTCGCTGTTCCAGGGAACTTTGGCTCACCATCAGCAGCCCAGCAGAATTACCAACTGCAATGGCAGAAGAAAAACCCATTACATTCATAGCAGTTATATCTAAGAAAAATATTTTTTGAGTTTATGAAAGTGTGAAAAAAAACCCCATATCAATCACTCTTACTTATTGGAAGTTAATAAATATGTAAACTGCTCTCTCCTTGTAACATTTTCCAGTTAAGTGTAAGTCAGAATTTTCATCTAATTCCAATATTCCAACCTGATTATAGCAGAAACAAAGAAAGAGCTTCACATATAATATGAGCAGAATAGAACTAGGGTCATCAGCATGAAAAGTCCACACTTTATCCACATGGCTACTTCGCCCTTCTCATAACAAGTACATTCGGCTAACTCATTCCCACCTGTTGAACTATGGTACTTACGTATGTTGTCCTTGAGTGTTTCAAAGCTGCCGAAGCTGCCTCGGGCTGCCGAGCGACTTCCGAACAATACTTCCCAGTCTGCGACGTGGCTGATGATCACCAGCGAAGCTGTTTGATGCATCACCTGGAAATACATCACAGACAAATACTATACCAGGAAACTGTTACAAGAATGAGATTAGAAAACAGGGAGCAGCATGTTCTTCCAAATAGGAAGACACACTGTCCTGGCCTGACATAGATGGATCAAGTTACTGATAAGTAATCTTACCTCTGTTTAATGATAAATTGACAACACATTCTGCATTCCCTGAGCAAAAACCACCACCACACAACACAAAGCTATTAGAATGACACCCTGACATTTCACAAAACAAACCACACTGGCACACACAAGAAATGGGTTAAATACTGATTTCCACATTTCCACTCTGCCCTATTAAGCAGCCTGGGTACTCATTATACATTAACAGCAAAGCAACTGTTTAAATGTATCATACGCCTTTGCTGTAGCCACATTGCTCCTTAAAAAGTAGGTCAGTGGTAGAAACCACTAGATCTTTTAACAACATCACTGAATTAGTGAGTGACATGGGTTTTAAATAATGTACAAAACACTGATCTTGTCAAGGGAATCATTGCAGCCACAGTGAGTGAGTGATCTGGGTTCAATGCTGCTTTGACGGGATTGTTCTGGTATAACAACTTCCAATTAACCTTCTATACCTATCTCTTGAGACCTCGAAACCCCAGGTAACAAATTGGACACATAGTACCTCTGTGCATGGGTATAGGTAGGAATAGCTTTTTAAAGTATTGACAGGAATGGTAATGGGATCTGAGGGGAATACATTTACTGTAATATCATGATGCAACAGTACTGATTATAAGTTCATGATGTGTAAATAGTTGCAGCAGCATATCAGTTTCCTGCCGTGGCGCTGCAGCAAGAGGCTGGATGAGAAGCAGACACATCGGACACCTTACCTCTCCCATGTGTCATAGACTGCGTCCTCACGACCTTCTTCCTGAAGCTCAATCTCAGCGGGTTTCTGCCTTCACTTTTCCTCCTCTCTGGTTCAGACTTTGATTTAGTGGATGTGTCAGTCTCATCCACACTACTTAGGATCCGGGACAACCTCTTCACATCCTCCTGTGTCATGGAGTTATAGCCCCTGTCTGACACACCACCTGTAGGGGGCAGCACAGGCAAACACAAGGGGTCAGGGGTTGACAGGTTAGGTATGGTGGCAGCTTGCAGTATTGCTCATAGGCATAGAGAGAATCGAAAGCTTAATTTATAGAAAGTATCTTCATGAATACATTTTATGACAATTAGCATCTTTATTATATGAGGTTATCATACTTGAACAACAAATGAGCTTGAAAAAAAAGCATGACAAAAAGATGCAAATAGGTGTCCTTTTGAAATGTGGCATTTTACTCCTCTAAAATACACCAAAGCAAGCGGCATAGCAGAGAAGAAAAAGCATGGGTATATCGAAGCTAGTGCTATCAGCCATCTTAACTATTTCTGTAATCAATGAAATAATAGAGAGCAGACAAACAGCTATGATTTAATTTAATCCAACCACACTCCATTCACAAGACAGAGGACAATTCTGGTTTTACAAACAAGCCAACATGCATATAAACCCAATGCAAACTCAACAACAACAATCAGGCTATTTTCCAAGCCACCTACCTGTGCTGAGTCGCTCCTCAATGTTGGCCTTGACAACTGCAGCAGTATCTACATTGCCGTTGGCGCCATCGCTGACAACTATTTCAGATTTTGTTGAGGGATCTTGAAGCACTTCCTCCTGAAAGTAGCTGTCGACGCTGGTTCTGCTAATCTGATCAAACTCACTCCCTGAGTTGGAGCAGATTGACAAACTACGGCGACGGATGGCTCGCCGGAACTGTGCAACACCAATGATAACATTGCGGATTTTTGTCCACAAAAGTCGTCCCTTGTTGATGTGTGTCGGCCACTTGGCTTCCAGAATCAACTGAAATTGAATAGCGACTCAGTAATACACATGCATGTTTTTTATTGAACATTGTGTTTTCAGCATAAGAGGAGGGATGACTAATCTTTAGTGAACACTGATGAAGGAGTGTGAGTGAGTTTAGTTTTACACCGCTTTTAGCAATATTCCAGCAATATCACCTTGGGGGATACCAGAAATGGGCTTCACATATTGTACCCATGTGGGGATTGAACCTGGATCTTCGAGGTGATGAGCGAACGCTTTAACCCCTAGGCTACCCCACTGCCCCACTGATGAAGGAAGATACTCACCTTGTTGTAGTAGCCGTATGTGATAGCATTAGGCTGAACACCATGCTTCTTCATAGCCAAGAACACCTTGATGGCAAGGAAGGGTTCATTGTACTGCCCACAGAGCTGCATGAGGATGCGGTAGCACACCTGGAGTAGAGACACAACAGTATTGAGGACTCACTTGTATGTTGTCCTATTGTTAAATGGCTCAGTATTACAAATATGGGTCTCAACAACTTATGTGAATTTAGTTTTATGCCATTTTAGCAATATTCCAGCAATAACACAGCAGGGGACACCAGAAATGGGTTTCACACATTGTACTATGTGGGGAATCACACCCTGGTCTTCTGTGTGACAAGCACTAAGCTTTAACCACTACGTTACCTCACCGCCCACAACTGTTATGTGACTAAAATATTTTTGTGTTCAATGTCCACATCCAACTGTTGGGGATAGGTTATGTGATCACTTGCTCTTCATCAATAACTATAATGATGGCATACCTCATCAGGGGAGATAAGTTTTGACTGTCCCATCTTCCTGAGCACTGCAAAGGCTATTCTGAAAGACTCCTCTTTGGTCTGGTTGACAGTGACCAATGCTGGCAGATTGATGAACCACAGACTGTAACAGTTGGCTGCCAAACATCTGTAACACAAACAGCAACACTGTACATGTGAGGACCACAAACAGCAACATTGTATCACCCAAAAACACAAACAGCAACATTGTATCACCCAAAACACAAACAGCAACACTGTATCACCCAAACAGCAACACTGCATCACCCAAAAACACAAACAGCAACATTGTATCACCCAAAACACAAACAGCAACACTGTATCACCCAAAACACAAACAGCAACATTGATTCATTTTTGTTACAAAAATGTAATACTGCATTATGTGTTTGCAAAGTTTATTCTGAGAAAAGTGGACGGTTAAAATTGCTATTCAATTCTCAGGTCAGTTCTGACAATTTTGTTTTGGCAGCCCTTGTAGGAGCAAAATCTTTCCAAATGATCAACTTAAATAGACATTGTTTCAAAACAACACTTGTTTATGCCGCGAATAATAGTCCATGGTGTTTCCTGTGAAATGGACACAGCCTAAACACCAATATAAAGTCATACTGAGACCACACAGTTCAATGTAATTGTACAGGTTGTGACTAGACTTACTTTGCCCATCTGTGAGGATTAGTGATGTGCTGCTGTGCGATCTGAAAGAAACAATAAGCATCATTACAGGCATTAGCATTGACAACAGCTAACCAGGTGCTTTATAGGTTCCACTACACTAAATCAGTATCGCTTGCTCGCTGAGCCGGTCCGTATGTAAACAAGTCAAGAGAGACAGAGACATGTGACAGCTGTGATTGGATGAAATAGTGTAAGATGTTTGTTTTTTAAAAGCACATCCAACCAGTAATTAAAACTGACCACAATTTTAAGCATTTAGTATTGTCATTTTTATCACCATCACTTATGCTTATTGTGTGTACAGATATTTTCCAGTAGGTGACATTTGGTGCGGAACTGGGGTTGATGTGTTCCGCTTCCTGTGCTCACAAAACGAGCCGGACAAGTTGGCCAGATATTGTGTTTTATGGTAGTTTAAAGGCCAGAGTGTACCCATGTGTACATGGAATGGCTGTTGATAGCCTGTCTATTTTTAAAAAATTATCAGGTTACTATAGAAGTCTATGGGAAAACATTTAGTGGTGTGTAACCTGTAAGAACCTTGACTGCCTCTAACACAGTTTGAACCCATAAACTTACAGAGTTATCCCCCTTTGGCCAAACTGATAAAGCAGAACTTGCCTCTGTTATGAGAGACAGAAAATATGATCATGCAAAATGAAACCCCCAGGAACACAAATGCTCACTTTAAAAGAAACAAGACAAAATTGTGAAATATATTTCTCTGCAATTTATGGGCATTGAGCGAATTCTCCTAATGCTTACCTTCTGAGCTGATCGAATCTCCTGCTTGGTTCTGCGTGCCAAGGGGCTGTTGGGACAGAGCGATTGTTTGCCTGGCAGCGACAGAGTGGATGGCTTCTTGGTGAGGAACAGCTCAGGCTTCAGTGATGGGAAGCCATTGTAACTGCAAGAGAGAATCATCAAATCATTAATATCTGGATTCTAGTACATTCTAATAATATATAAACAAGAACGTCTTGGAAATGTGTTGGTTCAAATATAAATCTCACATCAAAAAGTGCAAAATGTATTGTTCATTAGGCATATCCTACAAATGCTACAACACAAATGCTAGAGATTTGTTCATAACCGTAATTTTGTTGAGATATATGAAAAGAAGTGCTGGTGGAGTAGGAAAACAACAACCCAAGGACAGCTGTTTGGGGTCATATGATAGTTATATATATTAACTGTCATAATGACTATATGAAGTTACCCTCAAAATGTTATGTTGCCGTCCTAACATAAATGTGATCATCTTTCCCCAAACCTGTTCCTACCAAAAAATTATGTTGGACAAGACAGTAAAGGGACAATTGTTTTGGACATATAGAAAACATACAAAAAGGAAATAGAACAAGTTGGGGATAGGTTATGATGACTGAATTCTACAGTACCCTGGTCCTCACAAAATAACTTTATAGCAGTCACAACATAATGACGCAAACTTCTTTTTCTTTCTTAACACATGTATCTTATTTCCCATGTTTCAATTTTAGCATTGTTTATAATATAGCATGCAACTTTATGAATAACAACTTCAGCAATGTTTGGTTGTAGAATCTTTTAACTTGAAAATGGTGTAAGAATCTACACTGAAACATTGCCCTGTGCAGTAAACAAGAAGGTATTATCCATAAAGTTGTTTGCTTTATTACTGACTCATAACTTCTACAAATGCCAATCGAACACATTGTTTATACCAAAGAAATTACTGACCTCCATACAACTTGCAACTGATCTATCATCACTTAACCATTTCACAGACTTGTAAGAAGCTCATTGCAATGCTTTTGTTGAGTACAAATTGCACACTCTTATTCGAACACTTGTAAATGTTTAAACCATTACAAAACCATTCCTGATCTAAATTTCATCCCCAATCAAAACACATCAAGCCATGTTCTCTCAAGAAATAAATTGTGCTCTGTTGATAAACAAAGTATGCCCGACATGACTGTTGTAGTTTATGGAAGATAAACACTGCACTAGCATTTTGCTGCATGTGGTACAGAGGTGCACATGTGCAGAGAGCACCTGCACCCTTCCTGGCACCAGCCCAATACAGATACTCCTCACAGAGCAGTATGTGGTAGAGTGGTGTAGGGAGCACACTGCTGGCTCCAGTCCAACACTCATTCTGTGTGCACGACACCTTCATTACCCTCCCACTATCATCTCTGCCACCAGTGTGCAAGTGGCCATAAGAATCTGAAATAATTAACCTCTATCCCAAAATGAAACTTCCTTTATATGGCAGAAGAACTATAAATCAGATGGCAAACCTCTCTTTTTTTGTAGTGCATTTTTCAATCAAAACATTTATTTTTGTCTCAGAGAACGCCCTACTTGTGAAATGGGATAAAGTTGAAGACCAACTTTTTCCCAGATGTTCTTTTTAATGAGATTTGTTTAAGACAACAGACTAAAGGAAAAGCACTACATTAACAGAAAATCAAGTCAGCAAACAAACACTATAATTTAACATGTGGAAGAGCATTAGTCATCAGGACATAACTTGTTTGTATACATGGAACAGTCTGTTGGTTACAATTTCAACTCTTTGCATGGTTGTAGGCCACGGAGCACTGAGGGGAACAGTGACTGGTGGTAGCAACAGTATGGAAACCCTGATGAAAAGGCTATCACTGTGAGGAGCTTGTAACAGTCTAAAGCAGGTGCCCCTTACGGTGCAACATGTGGAGACGTGTAGGGAGCACCTTTGTTGGCCCAAACTCTATACACACAGAGAAGCAGGTCAGGGTGTAATGTCAGTGTAGTTACATTACCTATCACTATGCTATTTACACTTATCACCAGATCATAAAACATTCCTGGGATATAAGCACTGTCCAATTCAAGTCTACTTGATGTTAAACAGTTCCATCCTATGGGTTGCAGCCAGCTTCACCTATCTTGATTATTCTCACAGAAGTAGATTCTTGTCAGTGGTTTACAGCTCAATATATGTGTTATTCGTTACATCTTTTCATGAATGAGGAAAACAGCTCTCGTCACGTCAATAAGACACATTTCCATATACATGTACATCCAAACACAATTCTGATAATGGTTACAATACATGTTTTGTCAAAATATCAATTGTACTATATGTACTGTACATTTCCATAATTACATTAGACTGACTGACTGAGTTTGGTTTTACGCCGCTTTTAGCAATATTCCAGCAACATCACGGCAGGGGACACCAGGAATGGGCTTCACACATTGTGCCCATGTGGGGATTCGAACCCGGGTCTTCGGCGTGAAGAGCCAACGCTTTAACCATTATGCTACCCCACCGCCCAATTACATTAGAACCTGGAATGAATCGATAATCATAAGGACAGTGGTCTTGACTTACAACTCCTCTGATTTGCTGTAGATGTAATGAATTGTATTGTGAGGATTTCTTTTCTGCATCCATTCTCTACATTTGTGCATATATATGTAACTATGCAATGTCTACTCCAAAGAACTGATCCAAATAGATTTACGCAATACCTAATCTAAACTGATTCTCTCCAATGAATTCATGCAATATTTATATAGATCTAATATCAATATAATGAACATTAATTATATACAGCCTATCCTATCAGAAATAGTCAAAGCTGCGAATAATATCAGATCAAAAGACATTTTTTTCTAGTGAAATCCATTACTGGTCAATGTGGCATAAAAACAGACAGTATTGTCATAAAATGATTCCCGATTGCATTGTGCCCAAGAGCTCTCCCACCACTCAGCAGAAGACTTTCATATTCGTTATCACACACAAATGTTATTTATGTGGAAACTAAATCAGGAATCAGATCCAAAAGAGGCTGCAAGATGCTGCTGCTGATGGACGTCTGGCATGGCCAAGTAAACACCACAGCACAAAAAGCTCCCCTGGGGGACTTAAATTACCCAGACCTATTTCAGCTGCAGCTACATTCAACAGGAAATTGATAAATCAATTTATGACATGGTCCCCCTCAATAATCCTATTACACCAGTCAAATGTCAGAATTGATTATTGAGAACCCCGATTACGGTGAGCTTATGACTTGTGATGGACTCGTTATCTCTGTCCTGAAATAACAGGGCATTCTGCTTTGCCCACACACTCCCAACACACTCCCCACTGAGAACATACAACTACATCCATGCTGGCTTTGTTGCAGATTCTTCCTCCTTTTGCTGAGGCAATTTAGAAAATGAGAAAGAGATGTTATCAGTCTTAATAGACCACAGACTGATGGAAAGAACATGATTTTCAACTTGTGAAATGTTTTATAACATTTTTTTTCTTCTCTTCTTAAGCTGATGAGTTTCTGCCAAGTAGCCCAGGGCCCCCAGCTTCCAGATGTCTACATTAATTACCTCGACTTTAAATCCACAGACTATTTCTGAGGCAAGTGTTCAAACCTGGCAGGTATGACGCGAGAGCCACATAGCCACTGAATGTTTAAGAATGTTTTATCCCTTTGTTCAATAAAGCTACCACCGTTGGTGCACTATGACATGCTGAGACGGTGAGGAAACAGTTGTGAATTTTCAAAAACGCAAGAATTATGCCCAAGTGTACCTCTTTCTGTAATTTATGAAAAGCTGGATAACACAAGTTTGTACAAATGCTATTCAGCATCAACACAGGGCCTATCAAAGTCTGTCTCAAAGTCCCAGAACCACATTATGTTCAATTCCACCCATCCCTTTATGCATTGCTAAAGTCCTAAATGAAGCAAGCCTAGATTTTCTCATGTTCTGAATTTCCCATCTCGCTCATGCTCCTTTCCAGTTTAAATGGAGTTATTCTTTCATAAACAATTATACACATTCAGAGACCAAGTGTCAATCTAGGCTTATATGAGTGAGTGAGTTTAGTTTTACGCCACACTCAGCAATATTCCAGCTACATGGCGGCAGTCTGTAAATAATCAATTCTGGACCAGACAATCCAGTGATCAACAGCATGAGCATCGATCTGCGTAACTGGGAACCAATGACATGTGTCAACCAAGCCAGCGAGCCTGCCCACCCGATCCCGTTAGTCGCTTCTTACGACAAGCATGGGTTACTGAAGATTCATTTTAGGCTTATATAGGCAACTGTTTCTTGACAAAGTAGTTTTATCTGCACATGTTGCAAATCTATTGATCCAGTGAGCTATTACTGTCAAGCCTGAATAATCTACTTACAAGAAAGTTACACCTTTAACCAAGGAGACTTACATCAGATGGGATCACAAGCTGGATTACATGAACACATAATTGCCCTGTATGTTGTTTGGCCTGCTAAAACTTGGAGCCTCCCTACCACAAATACTACCAAGGGTGAGTCATCTAGATTAAACATCACAAGACGAAACATGTCAGGGCAGGTCAGCTTAGTAGTGAGTGAGTGAGTTTTAGTGGTGTTCCGATAAGTTGAAATAATCGAAGATTGGTCGCAGTGACCAAACGACCAAGCAATCGATCACATTTTCTCATAATCGAACACAAACGATTTTGCAACTACTGTTTTAGTGTTTGAAACACTTGACGATGGAACATATCCTAGAAGTTGTCAGGGCCTGAAAACTTGTTTAATTCTTAGAAAACTCACTTCACTAACTGAAAAGTCATGACTGAATATTTCTTGAAGACTCCAGAAAGTTTATGTTCATGATATTTTACTCATCACTTTAAAGTAGCAAGTTGCATCATGTTATACATATCTACAATAACAACCTGGACAGGAAAATCTGAAAAAATGGCGCTAACCAATTTTTTTCGATGATTGTTCGTTGGTAATGAAGCAATCATCAATTGTGAGATTTCAACCAATTCCCAACACTAGTGAGTTTAGTTTTACGCCGTACGGGTCGTCAGCTTAGTAAGGAAGAATGAATGGTGGTGGATTCAGATCCCAGTTGGTCCATTTCCAGGTTGTTTAGCACCAAGTACTAGACCTGCATCACTTCGATTGTACATCCCATATTAACCTTGTTGTAACTTGAGTACTGTTGAAAATTGGCTCAACCTCAATCACTCACTTACATGAGTAAAAAGTCTGTCATGTTGGCAGTCTACACAATGCCATTTAGAATGTGGTCAAATGTAATAGGTTTGGGATTACACTTTCTCAGTAAAGTACAGATTCCAGTAGTTTTATTAGGTTGAGTCCCACCTGGGATCAATCTGCTGCCACAAAAGCAATGGCATGACTATGATACACAACAATGCACAGTGAGTTGCTGTAGCTTAGATGGCTGAGCCACCTGTATCCACAAGAATGAAGACGCAACCATATCATAAATGTAAGGTCAAGCACGTGAGTGAGTGAGTGAGTGAGCAGCTTTACAATATTCCAGCAAGATCACAGTGGGGGACTCCAGACATGGGCTTCACACATTGTAGCCATAAGGAGAATCGAACTCGGGTGTTTAGTGAGGGCCCATCAAAACATTTGTTTGCCCCTTCATATGTAAATGAATTAAGAAGAAAGAAGCTTCACATGAAATGTTTTAAAAAAAGGTTTTTATACAAAATGTCAAATCGACCAGAGTGGGGAATAGATAGATACATCCACACTTTCCTCAGTGCATACATCAACAGAAAATTATGCAAAAATCAACATCTGGCTGGAATACAGTTTTTGGTACAGACAGCAATATTTTGTTTCTGTCTTTAATTCATCAGATCAGTTGGCAAACCACCTCCACCAAAATCTTAAAATCCAAACAGAACCTATCTAAACATGCCTTAATGCTGTATGATTTCTTTCTTTCCACTCCAATAATGAAATACGAACATGCAGAAAGACTTTCCTCACACAAACACTGTACTAACATACGGAAGGAGGAACACTTGTCCCAATACTCTCAGTTTCCCCAATATCAGACAAAGCCTTCATGGTTGTAGTCCTCTACATGTGCTATCTAACTGGAACTCTAATGACTATGGATGAGCTTATTGTTCAGGTTTATCTTTCATCTATTTCAAACACACATACAGGGAAATGAAAAGTACACAGATATCTGTGAAATTATTTGTGAAACGCATGCACACATCAAAGACACCACATAATCTTCCATGAGAGGCAGTGAGAGAGAGTATGGTTTTACACCACTTTTAGCAATATTCTAGCAATATCACGGCAGGGGACACCAGAAATGGGCTTTACACATTGTACCCATGTGGGAAACCATGTCTTCAGCATGACCATTAGGCTTCCTCACCGCCCCGGTATCGGTCAAGTTTTTCAGGACAAAATCCAATTTATTAAAAGGTGTTGTTTATGACCCTTATAGGTCCAGTGCTGATTTAAAGGGTGGAGTTGGAACCTTTAACCCAATTCCCTATATGCTATTGATTAGGAGTGAGTGAGTGAGTGAGTGAGTGAGCTTTAATCAGAAAAACAGTTTCATTGTGTAAGTTGAATGTAGGAGGAAAGCCCTAATTGATGCAGGTCAGTGACCAATTTTGAAAAACCCACAAGCACTGACATGGTGCTAACAAATGTGGAAACATACAGCATCACAAGACCTACCTGTACTTGACCCCCTCAGGTAATCCAACAGGTTCTGGGGGCATGATGAACACTGTACGTTCGCTGAAAGACAACAAACACATTTAATACCATATACCATCAGTCATAACACTGACAGTTCCTCTAAGCAATCACCACTGCATTAGCAAGTATGAAAATAAGTCAAACATTAATTACAAATAATTTCTGCTTTCTATCTTTACATAATTTTTACTTCATAATTTAAACATTGCAAATAAATGTCTTAAGGAAATCTATCTCAATATGAGGAATTATCATGACGTTCAAGAAGTAACTTGTAAGTTGTATCAGTTAATGATTAGAAATGGACAGTTACCTTGTATGAGAACTTTCAATTTCTATCAGCTTTGGATCACCACTGGTTTCGACCACCTGCATTACACAAATGAATCAGTTAGAATTAACTCTCCTTCACACAATATTACAAAAACGTACGCCAGTCTAATAAGGCTGGAAATCTCAAACAGATGCAAGTCATGTTTACATTTAGTATTTTGACAGATCCTATGAGCATTGAATGAAGCTGAAAGAATATTACAAACATGGGTTACAAAGAGGAATCCTGGCATGACCAAGGGAGACAACTCTGTGGGGAATAAACACGGTGCCTTGGAATTCTCAGGTATCCCTATCCTATTCTATTCCTGCTAAAAGATACATATATATAATGTGAGAGGCACATACTCTTAAAGTGGAGCATTTCATGGTCTACAAACTTCATCCAGCTATGGTTAGTCAACATAATCAAATGTTTCAATCGATTAGGTGATCCCTTTCGATTCCTACCATCCAAACTTCAAAATGCCTATTAGAGAAGTAAATCATATCAAAATTTACCTTCTCAGCACATTCATCAAAGAAAGTAAGGCTGGCATCTTTGTCAGACACGAAGGACCTCTCCTCAATGAATCGGAAGAACATCTGTGTTTTCATCATCTGGTGGAAGAACTTGGCATAGGCTTTGTCTCTACTCTTCTGGAAGGCTGAAATATAGTTCAAGTTTAGACAGTCATGAAATTTCTGTTCTGTGTGGTCTGACAAACATTGTATGCTAATTCTGATCTGATTTAGAGTGGCACACAACTAGATGGGGTTATTACTGTTACTACCTGGACTGATTTTGATACTTTAACTTAAACAATAGTTGACAGTGATGGTGCAACATGTCTGACCTAAGGGAGGACGGTCATCTAGATAACATACTAACTCCTAAATTCCATTAATGTGTAACAATGAACAGTGTGGCACCAACTAGCTTCAGGACGTCTGTGTTGACAGCAGGACATACTCACTCTGCATGTCAAAGAGGCAGGATGCGTCGGTGGCCGAGAGGGTGGGCTTGTTAAGAATAGGGTTGAGGTAGTTCTTATAGTCCTTGAGCAAACATGCCATGAACCGCAGAAAGGCTTCCTGTATCTGTAGCTCCATCTGCATCTACAATCACCCATACATAGATGTTGTACAAGAACATTAGTGGAAACACTGTTATCCATAAGACTGTTTACAGATAGCTGACAGTGAAGAAGACATCTGTTGAAAATCTAGACTTTAAAAGTGTGAAGACAGCCAAAATACAGGATAAAGGCAATGATCTAATAATAGATAGGGTACTCCAGAAGACTGTATTATGAAGCCACATCAGTAATATTACTGCTATTCACAGCTAAGCATGCAGTCAGTTGCATACACTCACATATTCTTCTTGATAGTTGTTAAATTTTATGCCAGGTAATATTCAACATTTTCCTTCCACAAATAAACAAGAAAATTTAATTTGTACATAAGACCTTGTCAGATGATGAGGTCTGGTTGTTTTTCAAACAGCCTGGACAGTCAATCACTTATTTCTGAATTGTTCCCCATTTGGTATGTTCAGTCAGGAATCCAGACCATTGACTCACATACCAAATACTTTCCTATAATCCCAAGTTACATCAGACAGATTCTGTACAACAACATTTAACTGACTGACTGAGTTTAGTTTTACGCCGCTTTTAGCAATATTCCAGCAATATCACGGCGGGGGACACCAGAAATGGGCTTCACACATTGTGCCCATGTGGGGAATCGAACCCGGGTCTTCGGCTTGACGAGCCAACGCTTTAACCACTAGGCTACCCCACCGCCCCCAACAACATTTAACCCAATCCAACCCCTAACGTCAAGGCACACCTCTTTCTTTTTCCACTTAAAGTCATGATCGATTGGAGCCATTTCCAGAGACACCTCATCAGTGGTGTGAGCCTGGTCTGGGTGCAGGGTGATCACGTCAAACAAGTTGTGGAGCGTCTCCAACAGGACCCGAGCTGCTTTCTGAAACCGGAGGAAACAGCAGGTAGTAAAGTAACGGAAGAAAACGACAGACACAAATCTTACTTCATGTGTCCACAAACATGTCATATTTTAGTAAACAGCATTTATTGTCACTGTGAAAAACGTATTAACATCAGATGTTGTCGCTGCGTGAACGAGCCATTACCATTAGCACCTTCTTCCTTACAGAATGTGATATCCTAATGCTAACCTGAACCAACATATCTGATCTTGTTCACCAGAGTGCCGTTGTACAAAGCCACCCTAGCACTACAAATGTCGTGAGTCTATGTTGCGGCACATGAGTTATGATCACCTTATATCACTTTGTACAACAGCATCCTGGACAACAATATCAAGTACATATTACAATACTCTTAATGATATAACAATGCAAAAATATGAGGAGTAAATGCTTTGTCAATGTATGTAAGCTAAGCTACTCTTGGTACTCATGTCCATTTTGAAGAAGAGCAAGTGATATTCTCAGACTACGCTGTACCAGTAGTATGTCTTCATACTTAGAACACCCTTTGAAAACTACAAAGATCAGGATATGACTGATTGACTGACTGAGTTTGGTTTTACGCCGCTTTTAGCAATATTCCAGCAACATCACGGCGGGGGACACCAGAAATGGGCTTCACACATTGTACCCATGTGGGGATTCGAACCCGGGTCTTCGGCGTGACGAGCCAACGCTTTAACCATTAGGCTACCCCACCGCCCCTATCAGGATATGAAACAACTTGTCAGAAACACCATTATACATCAGAACAGGCCATCTTCAGCTCAGCAGACCTCACCTTGGGAAGCAGCTTGTAGTTTAAGTTCTTTCTGTCCTCTGGCCTGCAATAACAAAGCACTGGATTAGTGTAAGCTTTTATTTACATCACAACAGCAGCTATATCAATGACTATACATCATACAGATTGATGCTTTAAGCAGGAAAACTACCAGGTTTCAAACTAGTGTTGGGAATTGGTTGAAATCTCACAATTGATGATTGCTTCATTACCGATTACAATCATCGAAAAAAATTGGTTAGCGTCATTTTTCAGATTTTCCTATCCACGTTGTTATTGCAGATGTGTATAACATGATGCAACTTGCTACTTTAAAGTGATGACTAATATATCATGAACATAAACTTCCTGGAGTCATCAAGAAATATTCAGTCATGACTTTTCAGTTAGTGAAGTGAGTTTTCTAAGAAATAAACAAGTTTTCAGGCCCTGACAACTTCTAGGATATGTTCCATCGTCAAGTGTTTCAAAGACTAAACCAGCAGTTCCAAAATCGTTAGCGTTCGATTATGAGAAAATGTGATCGAATGCTTGGTCCTTTGGTCACTTCGACCAATCTTCGATTATTCCAGTTAATTGGAACACCACTATTTCAAACAAACCCCACCATAGTGTTATGTTACTAGTTTTAGCACCTTAATTCTTACAGGACACACGAAACATGAAACTTATGATTGGTTTGATTTAATTATTTTTTTTCTATTAGTGCCATTCTCAGGCTCACTCACATCCATATCCTGTTTGTGTCAAGGTCAACACAGATGACATCGGGCGGGGGATCGTAGAGATCGAAGTACCGAGAATCTATTCCTGTAGTACAAAGAAACACAATGAATAACATACTTATTCTCATGAAATACAGGATATATATTACATTGTTTGTTGTTTCTCACTATACTGAGATAGTGTAGCTGTAAGATGGTAATTTGTAAATAATCAAGTCTAGACCAGACAATCCAGTGATTGACATCAGAAGCATCGATGTACACAATTGTGACATGATGACATGCTTTGCTGACCAACTTATCCCGATAATAGCCTCTAACAACAAGCATGGATTGCTTAAGACCAATTCTAACCCAGACCTCACTGGCAACCGTCTCGAAAGCATGTGAGAGCCTGTTGCCATATTGGAGTGTGGCTGACACTTACCTACAATGAATGGACAGGGGGCACTAAGCACCTCTGACAGGCCGAGGGGACAGAGGGGGATGTACGGACACTGCCAGTGGAATGGGAAGATCATCTGAAACAAAACAATAATGTAAACATACTGATTGATCATGATGTGTAGTGACACTAGGAGTCCATTGAGTGAGTGAGTTTAGTTTCACGCTGCTGTTAGCAATATTCCAGCAATATAACAGCGGGGAACACCAAAAAATGTAATTTTTGGAGTAAAATTGATATTTTATACTTATCCTGACTCATGCTCTTTTGCTTGTCTTCTTCTTCTGCTAACATAGTGGAACACTTGTATCTCCCTAATTGAAGCTCCCTTCAATTTAAAATCACTAATTAGTATTCACCACGAAGTTACCTCCTTTCCACAAGCTGAACGAGGGCTTCCACCTCTACCCATGTGCCTCACTCTCTCCTCATATACTGAGCCCAACATTTGAATTTACAGGGAAATCCAAAGTGTTATTTGGGAGGATGGGAGGGCTGACCTCATGAGTCAGGATAAGTATAAAATATCAATTTTACTCCAAAAATTACATATTTTTCCTTATCCTGACTCATGCTCTTTTGTTTTGTAGCATCCTACTGAACGGAGGTGGGAATATCTAATACTTTGGATTTTTAATAATTAGTGATTTGAACTGTGATGATTGTAATAACCCTATGGGAACTTCATAAAGGCACTGAACTGATGAATTCCTGCTGCTAACTTATCAGCTGCCATATAAAAGGTTATTACCATGTACTTATTATGATAAAGTATATATAACATTAATACAATGCTTAAGACTAATAGACTTAAGCTTGTTAATATGCTAGTATAAACTCCTTAGAGTTTGTTAGCTAAAATACTTTTAAGATATAACATAGTACTAAGCTTAAGATATGATTAAACTTAAGCTAATTATATAATAGCAAACTCTTTAGAGTTTGTTAGTTAATATACTTATATGATATAGATATAATGCTGAGCTTAAGATATGAATAAGCTTTAGCTACATATATAATAGCAAAAACTCTGTAGAGTTTGTTAGCTAATATATTTTATAATATGAGTATAGTACTGTGCTTAAGCTATAATTAACTTAAGCTACATATATAATAGCCAAACTCTGTAGAGTTTGTTAGCTAATATATTTTATAATATGAGTATAGTACTGTGCTTAAGCCATAATTAACTTAAGCTACATATATAATAGCCAAACTCTGTAGAGTTTGTTAGCTAATATATATTTATAATATTAGTATAGTACTGAGCTTAAGATATAATTAACTTAAGCTACATATATATAGCAAAACTCTGTAGGGGTTTTGTTAGCTAATATATTTTACAATATGAGTATAGTAGTGTGCTTAAGATATAATTAACTTAAGCTACATATATAATAGCAAAACTCCGTGAGAGTTTGTTAGCTAATATATTTTACAATATGAGTATAGTAGTGTGCTTAAGATATAATGAACTTAAGCTACATATATAATAGCAAAACTCCCGTGAGAGTTTGTTAGCTAATATATTTTACAATATGAGTATAGTATTGTGCTTAAGATATTATTAACTTAAGCTACATATATAATAGCCAAAAACTCTGTAGAGTTTATTAGCTAATATGTTTATAGTGTAACCATAGTACTAAGCTTAAGATAAGATTAGACTTAAGCTAAATGTATATAGCAAAATAAACTCCTTAGAGTTTATTAACTAATATACTTTTATGTTAAAAACATAGTACTGAGCTTAAGTTATGATGAAACTTAAGCTATATATGTATAATAACAAAACTCCGCCGGTTTTGTTAGCTAATACCTTTATAATGTAAACATACTGCTTAAGATATGATGAAAACTTAAGCTAATTGTATAATAGCTTAAAACAACCCTTTAGAGTTTGTTATCTATGATATAAACCTAGTATTGAGCTTATGAAGGAAAACTTAAGCTACATATATAATAGCAAGAACGTAGAGTTTGTTAGCTAATACATGTTATAATGTAACCATAAAGCTTAAAATATGATGAAACTTAAGCCAGAAATATATAATAGCAAAACCCTCTTTTAGAGTTTTGATAGCTAATATACCTATATGATATAAACATAGTAATTACTGCTTTAAGATATGAATAAGCTTAAGTTACATATATAATAGCTAAAACTCTGTAGAGTTTGTTAGCTAATACATGTTATAATATAACCATATTGCTTAGAAATATGATGATACTTAAGCCAAATAGCAAAAACTCTTTAGAGTTTGTTAGCTAATCTACTTATATGATATAAACATAGTACTAAGCTTAAGATATGAATAAGCTTAAGCTACCTATATAATAGCAAAACTCCTTAGAGTTTGTTAGCCAATATATTTTAATAATATGAGTATAGTACTATGCTTAAGGTATAATTAGCTTAAGTTACCTATATAATAGTAAAACTCCGTGAGAGTTTGTTAGCTATGTATAAAATAGCCAAAAAACTCTGTAGAGTTTGTTAGCTAATGCATTTATCATGTAACCATAGTATTACTCTTAAGATATGAATAACTTAAGGTAAATATATATAATAACAAACTCTGTAGAGTTGTTAACTTATATATTGTATGATGTAATAATCATAGTACTGTGATGATAAAAGGAACTTAAGTAAATTATATATAGCATGAAGCTATTTAGTATTGTTATAAGATAAGTAAAAATCTGTTAGATTGACTTATCTTCTCCAGAGGAACTGTCAGCTGTTGTCTGTGAGGACCATGGGATCGAATTGGTGTATACCTGAGACGTCCTCGGTGGTGATATCTCTCAGATAATGGTTTGCAACCACCATATCGGATTTCCAGAAATAAACCCTCCATTATTTCAATCACATTTGTGTAGAACAATTGTAGAAGTTAGCGCTATAATATCATGAGTATTAAGCTCATGGAGGGTCGGAATAGGTCCATCCGCATATGCACGTAGTATGACAGTTCTGATCCAAATGGAGATATAGTACATGAGACTTCACTCTGCGTAAGTTGATGATAGAGGAAATAATCTGTTGCATTTTTTTCCTCCTGTTTGGTTTGGTGGAGATAAATTTACAGTGCTCTTGCTGGCCATCTTGATAGAATCATCGTATCATGGGGTCCAAGTATGTCATCCAGGCGTGTTCATAAACCTCACTTGTGAGGTGTTGGAGCACTATATTCATATCCCCAGGTTGGGCGTGAAATTTCCGTTTTATTCTCCAAACAGAAGTTTAGTAGGTTTACTAACCATCTAGTTGTGTTAGTCGCTTGATGAAATTCAGCTGTAGTCTGAAACGCGCTGTGGATTTAGATCCACTTGTATCTTTCGCCCAGGTAATTCGGCCAGTAAGTCCTTTTTGACGATGTAGGTGCACAACCAGGTGTGTCTGTCCTCGCTGAACTTTATGTAAAATCGCCTGACTGCCGATCCCTCGCCTTAACTTGACAGGGAGGTCTCTAACTTGAAGAAAGGCAGTCTAATCATGAATGTTCAGGTTAACTGGACTGTAATGAGGCTTGCTCGCTCACTGATATATAGTTGTCACTTTGTGACGTAAGTCTTGAACTGTGAATAGAGATCGACCTCTGTGTAGGTCGTTGTCCCTCAAGGGTCCAATCAGAACAAGGCATTTTGATTCTGTATAATACCCGCCAGATGTCACCGGTGTAGCGGAAAAAAAACCCACCTTGAATAAATTCTTGTCGCCGCTGATATTAGCATAAACGTCGGTCTTCACCGTAGCTTCCCGGTTATCCGAAAGTGACCACGTGTTTCGAGGGTTAATGGTAACCAGCCAAAACCTCCGGTATGAAATATCTCGCCTGTAATTTTATGCTGGGTAGGTTATTTTCCTGGTTGTCGTGGAAAGTAATTTCAGTTTTGAATATAATTCGACTTCCTATATATATAAGGGTATAAACAACTTGCAAGTTGTGAGCTTGTAGACTGTATACATGAATGTATCGCCATAATTGTAGAATTAACGCTGAACTTGTTGTACATATTTCTTCTCAGAAACTTTGACGATTAAGAGTTATACTCGCTGTAACAAGGCTGCTGTTCAATTTCGATATTGAATTGTCTGCAGATATGCGTAATGGTCACGCATGTAGATAATCGTGATCGTCGTCCGGGATTGTATATTAGCAATTTATACGGAATAGTTGATTTCTGTGAAGATCTATGAAATGTCGCTGACTAATAATACAGCGACGCTCTGTGTTGTAAATAGCCTGAGCAATTATCTTCAAGCAGAGGGCTTATAGATCGCATCTGGCATACAGTTGATAATCAACTTATGCGACGCCTTGAACGGACTGACGAAAGTAGCTATATATGACAAGTGGCTAGTATATGGAAACCTTGGAGGAGACTTCCTCGGTGAACGCTGGAGACTTCGCTAAGGGTTCTCAAGTATCCCTTCTAGATCTTCTGGGTGAAGTAGACTTGAGTTATTTTAGCCTTCGCGACCATCGCTAAGGTGTCGAGTCAAAGCCCGATTAGTATATATATATATATATAAATATATATATGAGCTTGCTTCGTGAACAGCCTCTGTGTTTAACAGGATGTGGATCGGCTGCTTGCCTAAGTAGGGCCGCATGGATCATCTTATCATATTCAGAAGTCGCGGTTAAGTCTGGTGATAAGTGTCTAATTGATCGCTCTAGATCTATTTAGGCCAGCTTAACATACGCTCGCCCGCCATGGATTCAACAGAACCAATATAACGCATTGTAGTTCTTATACTTGATATCGATGATCAACTTGTCTATGGGTTGATCTTCTCGAGACTTGTGAGGGGAACGCTGATAGTTTCGCTGAAGCTCTTGTATAGTCCCTCGATGTCCTTCTAGATGATGATGATCTGATTCAGGTGTCCTCTCAAGATGCCTTCGCGAAGCTTCCTCTGCGTCCGTCCGGGAACGACGATATGACCTTCGCTAAGGCTTCCGTGATGACTGATGGTCCCGAGTCCACATCTAGGGATGAAACCGCGATAAGGTGATGATCGATCCTGCCTTCGCTGAAGTCCTTCGCCGGAAGGCTGTACATCTAGGTTCTTTCCGCCTTCGCCAGCGAAGGCTGTACATCTAGGTCCTTTTCCGCCGAAGGCTGTACATCTAGGTCCTTCGCCAAGGTGGTCCGCGGACTTCCTTCGCTAAGGTGACATCGCCCTGGCTGCTACGCTTGACGGGGTGCCTCTGGGGTGCTGTTCTACGCTTGGAGCCTTCTGGTTGTTCGACTCCTGCTACCGCAGATATTGGTCCTCCATGATGTTCATAATTTGTCGCGATCATGTCTTCTGGGATGGTCTGCGAAATTTAGGTCGGGCCGGGTGCTTTATCTGCGGTGTTAATGGAGGGGTCCAGCGGAAAATCGTCCGACATCAGTGTAGAGGCATCAGGCTGCATGGTGATCTCTGCTGATGTCGCTGTAGCTGTCACCGGTCGCTTCTTGTATGCGATCGCGGGGATGATGATCAGCTGATCATCGAGAGGTCCAGGTCATCGGCTGGAACAATCTCGCTGAGAAAGTCCTAGTAGACTTCGCTGATTTTCCCCTCAGAGGTCGCACGCTGCCCTGGGTGTGCACGCCCGGCGCTTTGAGTGTTGGTAATGATGGGACCCTCAGGACGATCATCGCGATATCTGCGCTTGGTACATCAGGCTGCATGCTGATCTGTGCCGACATCGGTCAATCTTTGATGTACATCCGTATGATGACCGGCTGATCATCATACAGGCCCAAAACTTCGATGGGAACGGTCTGGTTGTTGAGATGTAGAAAACCCTCTAGTCTTCTGCTGCGACGATGGGATGTCTGGGGAAGCAGGATGCTTCTTTGAGATGGCGGACTACGCCCCACACCTCTCCACCACTCTAGCAGAACACCACACGGGAGGAGAGTCGGCCAACAGCAGTAGACTGGCGAGGGGTTCCGTGTATCAGTCATACTAGACTCTGCATACGCCGACCTATCTGCTGTGCGTGCAAACCAAGCAAATATTAATAAAAAGGTAGAATTGGATAAATTAGTACCGCAACTGCAATGTGAATATAATAAACATGGCTACGCATACATCATATTAAAGGCGGATCAGCAGCAGCATAAAAAACGAATCTGCAATAGTACAGAATTTTCATCAACGTAAACCACTGAAACAAACACGGCCCCCCGTGACTAAACTGTAGAAAAACGACTAAATATCAATATATAATCGTTGAAGGATACTAGCTAAACCTCTATAGATGTCTATAATGCAGGTAACTAACTAAATATAATTCAAAGGATATAGTGTGTCGGAGACACAGGCGCCTCACGCCCAGCTCACTGGGCTAAGAAGGAGAGAGTGAGGCACATGGGTAGAGGTGGCTCTCGCTCCAGCTTGTGGAAAGGAGGTAACCTCGTGGTGAATACTAATTAGTGATTTTAAATTGAAGGGAGCTTCAATTAGGGAGATACAAGTGTTCCACTATGTTCGCAAAGAAGAAGAAGACAAGCAAAAAGAGCATGAGTCAGGATAAGGAAAATAAGGGGCTTCACAGCAGAGTCCATTGAGAGTATTCAGATGATAAATTGCACGTTCAAAGTCTGAGTTCTCCACAAGTGTTTCACGCATTTGTTAGTTTGTTCCTGTGCTGTTTACAAGACGAAGAAGTCATAACAGAGTATAGACAATGGGGGCCTCAATCCTGGCAAGGTTAAGGTTGTACTGTATGAATCTTAATAAAGGCGGTTATGGTAGAATGGAGATAAACATACTGTGTTGGAAAATCAGAGGTATATAACGAAATTATAATAGCTCTAAATTTTCTATTGAAAACCTCACGCTACACGTTTTAAATCTTAGAGCTAAAATTAGAGTTATTAGAATACCTCTAAATTTTCTATTTCACGCTGCTCGGGCCATATATACCTCTGATTTTCCAACACAGTATGCTTATCTCCAAAATATAAATCCAATGATGGTAATCCACAAGGACTAAAATTCTGCACCAGTTCTCAATGCTTAAGCAATACTGACAGAAAATGTAAACAAAGTAAATATTTTTGTCTTGTTCAAGCAGGGCAAGCAACAAACTATGTTGCATAGTGAAATATGGTAAACACTTATCCTCTTTGCTAATTGTAAATAATAATGAACATCTAAGGCTGAGTATATCGTGACTTACAGTTGACACGGCCTCAGCAACGCCCGTGAGGACAGCAGGGCGGAGGGAATGGATGAGGATCTTGTGCTCCAGCAGGATGTATCCCAGGATGCTCATGCAGTTCTCTGGGCCCATGTTCTTCAGCAGCGTGATGAAAGACGCACCACTGAAACAGTCAACATATACAACGATCATGTCAATGTCCTCTCAGAAGCATATCATATTCAATCATCAAAATCATCACAAGTTAAATCCGTTTTCAGAGATCAAGCGTAAGCGTACAAACATAGTTTAAATGATAAAGAAGCAACAATTCTGTATAACAGTACCCAGCTCATAAAACTAACAAAAAAAACCCTCTGTGTCTTCCGCCCAAAACGTTTGTCCTATATGGAGACGTCATAAGTATTGCTTACAGATTGGTCTAGAAGTTGATCGAGAGGACATTATTGGAGAAAAGTGCTCATACAGTGGACAGGGTAGAAGTATTAAAACAGAAGTATGAAATCATAATAGCCCTGGATAAATCAAAGGTTTGTAGTTATTCAAATACTATCAACCACTCTGTGTTTGCATCAACATATGATGCAATATGTTGTGTCAATATTACAATACAATAACTTTCGAGTGACATACTTCTGTCAGATTATCCTCGCATACCAGTACATGTTTTAGGCAACATGGACCCAACAGGTATGGGTCAGTAGGTGAGATTCTTTGTTTCACAATGGTGAACACAGGTGGTTTGTTAAGTACAGACATAGCAATGTTTCAGCTCAGCTAAAACTGAGTTAGTGTTTGACATAGTACAGCCTACTACCAATCTCTAACATGGCTGTCAGTTTGATATCTGCCATGTGCTTACCTTTGTGGGAGTGGTGAGTCTTCAGGCATACAGAGTGACAAAGCTTCATGGTTTAACTGGAAGTGAATACAACAATTTAGCACATAGGCAATATAAAATATATCGACTATTCAACTCATTTGTCAATACTGATAATATCTTTCCTACTTTCAGTGTTAGTGTTACATAAATCACTGTACATTTGTTTTAAATAGTGATATGACAGTTCTTGCAAAGCAATCGAGCAGGGTTGCACAACCTACCTGTACCAGGATGCGAGGCCTCTGTGGGGAGGGATAGGGGACGTCATACATGAAGTGAGAGATGTGTCTGAAACAACAACAACAATACAAGTATTCCAGCAGAATAGAGTGACAACAAGATTCTTCAACACTTTAAAAAAACACTATTATAATATAATCTAATTTTTCAGCTCCATTGACCAAATTTCTCTCATTGTGCCGCAGCATTGTCTCAAAAGATTTCATCTCACTGTGCAGAAATATTTTACCCAGATTCTTAAAAAAATTTAATTTTGTTGATGAAAAGTCCCCTTACCTTTCTATGGGCACAGTGTGAGGGCCAGTGATAGAGATCTTGTACAGATAGGACAGGAACTTCTTAAAAGCATCGAAGAATGGCCAGCGAGATAGTAAACAGATGCTCTTGTTGGCATGGACTGTCTTGAGGATGCGGTACTGTTCTCGGATATGTTTGTTCTTCAGACCCAAGTGACGCATTTGGAGATCTGTTAGTTTATCTTCATGGTACTCTTCGTAGAATGTCACAGCAGCACCGAAGACCTATAACATACACATCACACACATCTAGAGCTTGCGACACTTGCAGCGATAAATAGAGGACTGTCTACATAATATAGTAGGTGCATGTACTGCATGTATCCTGAAGAAATCCTGATTATTAGTTGATGTTCATATCAATCAGTAAATATCATTCAGCAGTAAATACAAAGCTGCAGTAAATATCATTCAGCAGTAAATATAAAGTTGCAGTGAATATCATTCAGCAGTAAATACAAAGTTGCAGTGAATATCATTCAGCAGTAAATACAAAGCTGCAGTAAATATCATTCAGCAGTAAATACAAAGTTGCAGTGAATATCATTGCAGTAAATACAAAGTTGCAGTGAATATCATTCAGCAGTAAATACAAAGTTGCAGTGAATATCATTCAGCAGTAAATACAAAGCTGCAGTAAATATCATTCAGCAGTAAATACAAAGTTGCAGTGAATATCATTCAGCAGTAAATACAAAGCTTTATATTCAGCAGTAAATACAAAGTTGCAGTGAATATCATTCAGCAGTAAATATAAAGTTGCAGTGAATATCATTCAGCAGTTAATGACATTCAGCAGTAAATATCTAGTGATCCAGCATTTATTTGTATGGGGTAGGTTGAGCCAGGCTAGTGATGCGAGGTTGAGGTGCAGGATCGAGCCCACCTGTGACTGTGGGTGTAAAACCTGGGAGTCAACTTTGTGTGCAGACTCTTTCAGTGTTGTCACAACCCCTAGTGTACAGTACACAACCCTGTGCACTTAAAAGAACCCACGAATCCGTTGGTATATGACCAGATGGTGGCCACATGAATACGTGTGCAAACACCTAGTTGCGGGTACAGCAACGTGCAGTAAACTTGGACAAAGTACTGTGACTGTGTGTCCCAGTCCACCCAACTGTGAATGGGTACCTCGTTAGGATGAGAAAGCCACAATAACTCGGTGCGCCTAGTGGCAGCAAGAGTTGTATACTCCCCAGGGAATTGAGATCGATGATACGATGTGCCGTTGAGATTGACATCCAATGATCGAGGGAAAAATACCAGCGCCTTGAGCATGCACCAGTTGCGTGGATATGTGCGCTATATAAATATACTATAATAATCCATTCATGTTTCATCAGATGGATATCAAAGAACTGATATTCTATTGAGATTGACTGGATACAAATAATTGTGGTATCTAAACAAGTATCATTCATTCATATTAATACAGGTTAGGACTATCCAGTGATCAGTGTGATGGACAAATCACTATCAGTGTCCACAATATGATAAAGCCACTGAATTATACACTTAAGCAAGACAGATCTATTCAATATTGCCATGACAAAGTCTATTTGATTGTGAGATTTACATCTCTTGGTACAGTTACAGGTATACCCACTTAAAGTGGGGGGAAATATCATTTAACAAATGATCAGCAAAGGACTGCAAATGAAGGACCAAAAAGTCAACTCCACACAATGTAACCATTTGATAATCCAGACAAAAATAATACTTTTCCCAAATATGAATACAAGCAGTTAATTTCTGTTTCTATTGCCAATATGTAGCCCATGTGAACAAGCCCTCACCTTCTCTCCATTTGGTATGGTCAAGATGAAGGTGGAAAACACAGGCAACGGGTGCTGAGCATTAGCTGGCCAGCATTCAATGGTGGCTCCCATAGGCAGGCAGAACATAGGCACCTGTTCTGGGAGTTGATATGTGTCCTGATCGTACATCGGATATCTGTCAATGATACCTGCAAGCAGACAGTACAAGCGTGTTCTTTAGTCACATTCATTTAGCATTGATACATGAGACACGAAAAATAGTCTCTCAGGGGTGGAAATAACTTTAAAATTGCTAGTGGCTAGTGTACTCCGGTACAGTGGCACATGTAAAATCACTTGCCCTGCTAATTTTTCCACTATACCGTCCGTTTTCTTGTTGATTTTATAAATAAACAACATAATTAACATTGGAATATCAACTGGACATAGGTACAGTGTGATATACAAATCTGCTTGCCCGACAGAAAAAAACACTGGACTCGGGCGTCGGGCAATGGGTTATTTCTACCCCTGTCTCTACATAACAACCGATGTTGATTGTGGGGGTTCTCTGACATCCTGGTACTGATACAGACAAGGACTCTTCTATTAGAGGTGTAATGAGAGAGTGAGTGAGTGAGTGAGTGAGTGAGTGAGTTGAGTTTTAAGAGCACTCAGCAATATTCCAGCTATATGGCGGTCTGTAAATAATCAAGTGAGACCAGACAATCCAGTGATCAACAGCATGAGCATCGATCTGCGCAATTGGGAACCGATGACGTGTCAACCAAGTCAGCGAACCTGACCACCCGATCCCGTTAGTCGCCTCTTACGACAAGCATAGTCGCCTTTTGTGGCAAGCATGGGTTGCTGAAGACCTATTGTACCCGGATCTTCATGGGTCTCTATTAGAGGTGTAATGATGTGTAAGGTAGGAGGAATGATGTATATTACATGTATCAGAACAGATGACATCCTGTGTTCTTTCTGTATGATTTGTTTGTTTGTTGTTCAACACTGCACTCAGCAATTTTCAGCAAAATCATGGCAGTCTGTAACAAATATGTAAGGTTTGTTCTATCCTGTGTTCCCGAAAGGTTGATACAACTTACACAACCATATTTTTCAAAGTTGTTCTAGGGTTGAGTGAGTGAGTGAGTTAAGTTTTATGATGCTTTAGCAATAAATCTGCAATATCACGGCGCGGAACATAATTTACCTGGTTTGTAAGCAAGGAGATCCACTTTGTTCATAGCTTTCTTGTAGCAGAGAAATACATCTGAGCCCACCTGAAACATACACATACACTGTGACCTGACAGTACATGTGAGACATAGACTGTGATCTGACAGTACATGTGAAACATACACTGTGACCTGACAGAACATGTGAAACATACACTGTGACCTGACAGTACATGTGAAACATACACTGTGACCTGACAGAACATGTGAAACATACACTGTGACCTGACAGAACATACACTGACATGTGAAACATACACTGTGACCTGACAGTACATGTGAAACATACACTGTGACCTGACAGTACATGTGAAACATACACTGTGACCTGACAGTACATGTGAAACATACACTGTGACCTGACAGTACATGTGAAACATACACTGTGACCTGACAGTACATGTGAAACATACACTGTGACCTGATAGTACATGTGAAACATACACTGTGACCTGACAGGACATGTGAAACATGCACTGTGACCTGACAGAACATGTGAATACACTGTGACCTGACAGGACATGTGAAACATACACTGTGACCTGACAGGACATGTGAAACATACACTGTGACCTGACAGGACATGTGAAACATACACTGTGACCTGACAGAACATGTGAAACATACACTGTGACTGACAGGACATGTGAAACATACACTGTGACCTGACAGGACATGTGACATGTGAACATGCACTGTGACCTGACAGGACATGTGAAACATACACTGTGACCTGACAGGACATGTGAAACATACACTGTGATCTGACAGTACATGTGAAACATACACTGTGACCTGACAGTACATGTGAAACATACACTGTGACCTGACAGAACATGTGAAACATACACTGTGACCTGACAGAACATGTGAAACATACACTGTGACCTGACAGTACATGTGAAACATACACTGTGACCTGACAGACATGTGAAACATACACTGTGACAGGACTGACACTGTGACCTGACAGGACATGTGAAACATACACTGTGACCTGACAGAACATGTGAAACATACACTGTGACCTGACAGTACATGTGAAACATACACTGTGACCTGACAGTACATGTGAGACATAGACTGTGATCTGACAGAACATGTAAAACATACACTGTGACTTGACAGAACATGTGAAACATACACTGTGATCTGACAGTACATGTGAAACATACACTGTGACCTGACAGAACATGTGAAACATACACTGTGACCTGACAGGACATGTGAAACATACACTGTGACCTGATAGGACATGTGAAACATACACTGTGACCTGACAGGACATGTGAAACATACACTGTGACCTGACAGGACATGTGAAACATACACTGTGACCTGACAGAACATGTGAAATACATACACTGTGACCTGACAGAACATGTGAAACATACACTGTGACCTGACAGTACATGTGAAACATACACTCTGTGACCTGACAGTACATGTGAAAACATACACTGTGACCTCGACAGTACATACACTACACTGTGACCTGACACATGTGAAACATACATGTAAAACATACACTGTGACCTGACAGAACATGTGAAACATACACTGTGACCTGACAGTACATGTGAAACATACACTGTGACCTGACAGAACATGTGAAACATACACTGTGACCTGACATGTGAAAGTACATGTGAAACATACACTGTGACCTGACAGTACATGTGAAACATACACTGTGACCTGACAGTACATGTGAAACATACACTGTGACCTGACAGTACATGTGAAACATACATGACCTGACAGTACACATACACTGTGACCTGACAGACATGTGAAACATACACTGTGACCCTGACAACATGTGAAACATACACTGTGACCTGATAGTACATGTGAAACATACACTGTGACCTGACAGTACATGTGAAACATACACTGTGACCTGACAGAACATGTGAAACATACACTGTGACCTGACAGTACATGTGAAACATACACTGTGACCTGACAGTACATGTGAAACATACACTGTGACCTGACAGTACATGTGAAACATACACTGTGACCTGACAGTACATGTGAAACATACACTGTGACCTGACAGTACATGTGAAACATACACTGTGACCTGACAGTACATGTGAAACATACACTGTGACCTGACAGTACATGTGAAACATACACTTTGACCTGACATGATAGCATATGTTAACCATTTGCATGTTTCAATTCACATAAACTGAAATCATGAGAAAATAGATGTAATAAGTTTTAGGTTGTTTTGTTTTTCAATCTTTGCAATAGCTGTAGCATAAATAATGAATATACAAGGTCTTTTAGGTGACAAGAGGATTTGAGAGTTTGTGTTGCCCATAACCAAACAGGCAATTGTAATTCAAACCTTTTTAATAAACAAACTGTTTCCAATTGCAATGAACTTTTCAGTTACATTATATCATTGACAATTTTCAAAAACGTCAGAAAGCAAATTAGTTTAATGTTAACTCTATTTCATAAGGTTGAGATATAAGGCACTTAAGAGACAGACATACAAATTAAAATAAACACAAGCACAGACAATGACTTGGCCTGATGTGCAATATCTTCACTTAATGTCTACTGGCAAGGCAATAAACAGCCATAGGTTGAACCTCTTTTGTACAAATGGGAAACATATTTCATTCTTGTCACATCTTAACAATTCTATGGATGTAATCAACAGTTTTGTGAATCTATTGACACTAAAAGGTATGACTAACGTGTCCATCTAAACCTGGATTTCATGCTGTAACCAGAGAATGTTCCCCGTTAATTCTCCGATTGGCTTATAAATAAATCAAGTAAATGATGTCTTGCGTGTGACTCACCATTCCTTTGTTCAAGTTCTTGTTGATTCTGTTGAATGCTAACGGAGGGTCCTCTCCCTGCAACAATAAATCACATGATGAGCGAAATACTATCAAACCTTACTGTGTCAAACTATGTTGTATCATATTCCAAGTTGTCGCAAGTTCACCTTCCAGTCTGTGAATTACTTTATATTCAATTGCATAGATCGATACTCATTCTGTTGATCACTGGACTGTCTGGTCCACACACACGATTATTTACAGACCACACTATTTATCTGGAATATTGCTGAGTGCGGAGTAAAACTCACTATATTTATCATTACATATAATCAATCAGTAAAACTACGTAAGTCGAATATCCAGTTACCTCATACTGATCTGGGATTCCCAAGTATCCAAATGAAGCATAATATTCCCCTGATAAATTGAACAGTTTGCAATGAAAATAACCCCCACACTTGCAAACTTTCAGCTCGATTAACAAGCACATCTTTGCTGTTTTACGCCGCTTTTAGCAATATTCCAGCAATATCACACCAGAAATGGGCTTCACACATTGTACCCATGTGGGGAAATCGAACCCGGGTCTTCAGAGTGACGAGCGAACACATTAACCACTTGGCTACCCCCACCCAAGAAGTTGACTCACTGAGTTTGGCTTCTTCACGCTTTAGCAATATTCCAGCAACATCACAGGCGGGGACACCAGAAATGGGCTTCACATCGATTGTACATGTGGGGATTCTAACCTGATAAGTCTTACTGGCATGGGGATTAACAACCAGACTAACATTGGAAAGTCCAAAGAAGTTGAACGGTACAATGAACATACAATGAAGCTACAACTGTATAAACTGCCTAGTGTGCATGGGAAGTTCCTAACATTAAAGAAACACCACCCATTCCACTTGGTTCTGACAAGAAAATGCTCTTAAGCATTATGGCCTGCTATCGTTATAGATCATAGAGAAGTAAACATTGGTTGTTTATGATAATGCTGGAGAAGTAACTATCTGGAAAAGAAATAACCCTATTTCACGGCAGTAAGTCTTCAAACATTCATGAATTAGTTACACACAAAAAACAGTTATCAATACTATCAAAGACTCATGCCAATTATCATTAATAATTCTTTGCATCGACAATACTTTTGATAATTGATCTTTCAGGTGCCACAATCAAGCATGCATATGAAACAATCAAAACTAAACAGTTACATATTGCAATTATAATATTACAGCTCAGTCTGGCATAATGTGAATGAATTCAGAATGAACAATGAACTAACCTTATTAATGAGGATGACACAAATATCCATGACGGCCAAGGTATCACTGGATGCAGCAATGGATGCTCGACGGAATGTGATGTACGTTCTGTTGTTGCTGCTGTTGTTGACATTGGCAGGGTGACCGAAGGCGGTCGTGTGGACAACCTCGCACCCTTGTAGAACCTTCTCCTTCCCTTCATACAGCACCCTGACAAAACAAAGTCACTTCCTCATTAGTCGGATAGTCATTTTAGTAGATAATATTTGGACTATATAAACACAATTTATGAATTTAGTGTTGGATAGTAATTCTTACAGGTTGAACATGACATGTGAGGTGAGGTGAGGTGAGGTGAGGCGAAATGTGTTTTAACGTCATACTTAAGAAAATATCGCTCACATGACGATGTGCATGTGTGCGTATGTGTGGCAGCTTGTACTAGCCCAGACTTAAGCTAGTTTTATAGTGCTTGCTCACTGAGATGCCATGCCGCAGTTAAGCATGAATACCCCACTCAGACACATTATACTGACTCCGAGCCGATCAGTCCTTATTTTACCCATTAATGTCGGGCGTCAGGCAGGGAACAACAAGTACCATATTCTAAAGTCTTTTGGTATAACGCGGCTGGGAATTAAACCCGTGACCTTCCACTCTGTGGGCAGAGCTTTCAACCACTCCACCACGGAGGCTGTTTTGAACAGGACATGTATTTCATTTATATTGGGAGGCAAACCCAAAGTGATATTGATCGTAGATGTTAATGACAATGGTGAAACCACCTGGTGCTGATGAAATGAAGAGGGTGATCTGAAGTTTGAAATTATACCCTCTCGAGCCTGTAACAGTTTAGTGACACAACTCTGAACAACCTATTGCATTGCCTTCACAGGCCAGCATGTCAAAGGCTCCGAGTATTGATAAATCGTGCATGAATAAACCTCCGATGTGACTTCACACCCTTAATTCATACATAAAAAACAGTAAACCAAAACAACAGAACTTAGTACATGAAGTTGACAACCCAAGCACTGCTTGGAATAACTAGCTTCTGAAATATTTTCATTTGAGGCAAACTGAAGCAAAAGCTTGTGCTTTTTTCTTACAGGTAAGTTACAAATACTGAATGCAAGCTTCATGGGATCAGAAGCTTTTGTTTATCAAAGCCTAGAGTACAATTATAGATGCCTCTAATGTACGAAGCCAGTAATTTTGCAGAATACTCATCTACCAAAAGTATGTCTGCCATATGCAAATGTCAATAAATGTTCAGAGTTCAGTGGGAAAATATCCAAAAACAAAAAACCTATTTCCATTTGTGCATTTATCCTTTGTTTACATTGGCTGCATGGCTCCAAATGCTGGCAGTAGCATATCAAAATGATTATAAAGAAAAATATGTTAAGTGGCATGCTTGCATTGGGCACTTCTGTTCTTACTTTAAAATAAGCGTGTTTGTCTATGAACAAGAGAAAAGTTTGGTCACATGAAAGACTAAGTGAGATCGTTTGTTGCTTAATTTTGCATTTAGCAGCATTTCTGCCTTATGATGGCTGAGTGTGGACCAGACAAGCCAGTGATCATCATCATCATCATAGGTGTGTTGAAGAGGGAATGAATGTTAAAGGAGTGAGGTGAGGTGAGGTGAAATTGGGTTTAACGACATACTTGAGAATATTTCGCTCATATGACGACGTGCATGCGTGTGTATGTGTATGTGCAGCTGCTTGTACTAGCCCAGACTTAAGCTGGTTTTATAGTGCTAGCCCACTGGGATACCATGCCGCAGTGAAGCATGAATACGCCACTCAGACACATTATACTGACTACGAGCCGACCAGTCCTTGTTGTACCCGTTAATGCCGAGAGCCAGGCAGGGACCAACAAGTACCATATTTTAACGTCTTTTGGTATGACGCGATCGGGGATCGAACCCATGACCTTCCGTTAAAGGAGTGACTAAAGTACACACAGTCAACTATATACAATGGGACAGGATTTGTTTGTTGTTTAATGCTATCTGACAGTGGTCTGCAAATAATTGAGACTGGAAAAGACAACCCTATGATAGACATCACAAGCATCGATGTACAAAATAGGTACATGATGGTATTGATCAACCAAGTCAGTGAGCTTGACCACCCGATAACATTGGTCACCTCTTACGACAAGCATGGGTTGTTGAAGATCAATTTTAACCAGGCTAATGGGGCAGGCAATCCATTTGTACAACTGTAAGTCATATCAATCAAGTTGGTATACAAACCATTTTAATCACACAAATAAGGTAACAATAAAATGTTGATTTTGACTATCAGGCACCTATACAAGCTCTCTCAATGAGAATGATTATACCCAGAGAAGTGATTGTTTTGAGTATATATGCCGACTGGAAATATGATGGCAACTCCTGAATACAAGGTCATATGTAAAACAAAAACAGAACTTATCACACCATATTTAATGTATGAACACTTCCGACCATCCAACCATTAACTTGGATAACTTATCATTTCAGATTAATATTCATTGCTACTTAACATTTGGCAATTATGGCCAAAAAAATAAAAGCAAATAATATCAGTAAAATACAAACTTATCTCTGTGTTAATGTCATAAAACAACCATACGAAGCTACAAAACCTCTTTGGGCTTTGACCTGTTCAGATGGTTGGAAATATTTTACCCCCACAGTTGTGATAATTAAATATATATTTTCCAAGGACACTGACTGGAACATTGGGTTCAAGATTTCCTCAAATTCAATACCGCAGCAGTCAGGGCATGTGGAAGATTCCCCCATATCACCACTCATGCAATGTGGGCTTCAAAGGCTCATTTCCATGGTTATTGAATTATCTCGGAAAACACAATACAGCTAGCAGGTTAATGGAGGTTGGCATGCAACAGTCTGATGCCTCACGCCTGTGAATCCCATCTCTCCTGCTTCTACCTTCCATGTTGCAAAATCTGATCATATTCTGGCAATTCTAAATCACCACAGCACCGATCTATCATGTCTGTTGAAGGTGGATTTAATCTGTCTCACAGTCCCTGAACCATATTTTTTTCAATTACTGTAATGGGAGGCCATAAATGAAGCAAGTTGAGATTTTCTCAGGTTCTGAAATTCCCATCTCACTAGGTTTCCTTTTCAATTTAAAAGGAGATGTTTGTTTTTTTCAAAGTTATATATTTTCAGAGACTAATGGTAAGTGAAAACAGGAGCTATATCACTGTTTACAGAATGTGAGAATCTGATAATGATTCCATAAGGAGTCAATCCCTTTGGGGGATGCTATTTTGGGAACATTATTCTGTATTCCTAGTCCCATCTAATTGGGCTTACTAAGTCATAGAAGACAGAAGCAATAGAACATGATGCCACAATTAGAATCTTAGCAAGTCTATGCTTTATCTATCTTTAAAATTATAAGTAGATTTTGAGCATATTGAAACTACTACAAGAGTGTTTATTAGATAACATTTATCTCACAGTCACAAGTCGAAAGTCGTGTATACAACTGCATGAGCACACTTATCTGTTTGTTTCTCTAATCTCGTACCATTTTATCAGTGAATCGATGCACATTTTGTCTACTCCCATGATTGAAGTGGTACATTAATAACACATTAGCATTGCTGTCATGACTGAGAATTTGGCTAACTGTTTAAATTTCATTCCTAGTTTGACCCTCAATAAAACAATTTCAGCCAGTTTCTGTGTACTGTCGAGGTGAGGATTGTACAAACTCAATATGACCAAATAACACTATTAAACCATAAAGCACAACAAACATAATTACAATCAAGGAAGTAGTCTCCATGATCTGACCATAGGTCATCATCATGGAGCAGCCCACAGCAGCTAACTCAAATGGGTTTCTAAACCATGTGTGGGGGTGGGTATTGCGGAGAATTTTCATGTTGCGATATATTGCAATGCAAAAGCATATATTGTGATGTGTATTGCAATATATTGCAAGAATTATTTTTTGGGAAAAACTACTATAACTCAAAACCCAACAAAATACCTTTAGAATGCTTGATAGGAATCCTTAACTTTCAAAAAAGCAAAAACCATGACAAAATAAAAGTGCCTAATATTGATTTGGCTCAAAATCAGAAACAAGGAAAGGAACAATTGGACAACAGAAATATCTGAAGATGTAGAATATTATTATTATTTTTCCTATTTTTTTAACAAAAACTACCGTTCGAGTTAATGCTTGATTTATAAAGCAAAACCCAACAAAATCATGTCTTGACCAGGTAATAAAAGTAACCATGACAAAATAAAAGTGTTATAATTTTGGCACAAATGAAACAAGGAAAGGAACAAGTAAAAACAGAAATATCCCAAGATTCAAGTGTTACAAAATTTTTGCAATGCATGTACTAATAATTCTGTGCAGTATTGATATCGTTTCCTCATGTCTGAACCGGTAAGTACCGAAATAAAAACATTATGATGAAACTATACTGAGCTACCCCTACAAAATATCTTGTTATTTGACATGAGTGGTGAGTGTTGTTTGCAGTCAGCATTATTACAACATGTGTTCAAGTTGGGGCCAATTGGGGATTACTATAAGAGAAGCAGTTCACACTATCAAGGAAGTATGACAAAATCAGGCAACCACACATTTTCAACAAGCATTGTCACTAAGGTGACATAATCCCCTGCCGCAAATTATCAAATCAAACATAAAAGTAATGAAAGTTTAAGATGAAGTTAAATGTCAACAAAAACATGACCAGTCAACCTCTCTTGATATCTTGCTCTTTAGTGGTTCAAACACACAAATATTTTCAAGACTGACTTTGACCGTGACATGAATGTCATAGTGTATGAAATTTGCAAAAATTGTACTAAAGAAATTGCTTATTGAAAAACATTCTATGAAGAAAATCCAGTGAATTTAGGTTAACATGCTGAAATCTTCAAAGTGTCGCCATGACCTTGAAAATTATGTGAAGGTCACCAAAATAGACTGGGCCCTGCGCCTTCCCTAGATAAAGCTTGGTGTTGAATATGAAGAAAATCTAGTGAACGGTTCTTGAGATATCTCGCTGACAAGAGTAAAACGCTAAAGTCCCCTTGTGACCTTGAAATGAAAGTCAAGGTCACCAAACCTGACTGGGACTTTTCTTATACTGTGATGAACTTAGGTACCAAATATGAAACGAATCTAGTTAATGGTTCTTAAGATATTCCAATTCTTGAGATGCAAGAGTGGATAAAGTCCCCTTGTGACGGGGCCTAATACTATATCCCGGCTTGAACGTACCAAAAGCGAATCTAGTTAATGGTTCTTAAGATAACAACGCTATCCTCATTGGAAACTGGGATCCTCTCCAAATTAGTGAGATAGTGAGCGTAGTTTTACGCCACTTTAAGCAATATTCCAGCAACATCATGGCGGGAACATCAGAAATGGGCTTCAAACATTGTACCCATGTGGGGAATCGAACCTGAGTCTTCGGCGTGATGAGCAAACGCTTTAACCACCAGGCTACACCAAAGCCCCCTCTCCAAATTAACAAGAGGTAGCTGTTCAACAGACCAACAAATCTTAATTAGAACGGTATTTGACTGAGAAACATACTTCCTGTTACTGCCATCAGTAACAAATTTGATTTCCCATTTATATATATTTCTAGCCCTATTTACACTGATCAAATTCAACACTGGATTGTATGATCATCTGATAGACCTGTTGATCTTAATGCCTAATCTTCAATCTTACCATTAACTGTAATAAATAACTGAATCACAACTTCCAAAGATGAAGTAAAAGAACTGTATAAACAGACACATTAAACATTAATGTGTCAACATGCCAGCACAATAATTCAAGATTAATGTCATATCCTCATACAGAACAAAATCAAATTATTGCATCCTAATGTTAGTTCAAGTTAAGCTAAACAAGATATCAGATTACATAAACTGAAATGTGATTAGACACAAGTGGATCAATGATAATTTGACTTCCAAATGTTCTTGACAAACAAGGCTTCATTGATTACAGCATGTTTATAAAGCGGTCAATCACAGACTACAATAATACGGAACAGGAAGGACCGGAAAATAACTATTGGGATATTTGCGTTATCAAATACAACCGGAGACACAGCACACACAAGAGTCTCTCTGAATTAAACAGAAACCCTTAGGGTTCCCATCTCCTACTGGTCAATGAACAGACTCACCCAAGGTCAGTTAAAGGTGGCTTCTCACGACTCCGCCTGTAGCAAAGGAACATTTCGTGGCAGCGTATAGAACCATGGTTGAGGTCAGCTGGTAAGCCAGACGGAGTCCTCTCAATGCAGGTGAATCCCTTAGGGACCTTTTCACCCAGACTGCGGTTGATGACTGCAATTTCAGTGATGGGGTCCTGTTTGAAGGAGGGTTTGATAGCCGCCTCGTTGGTGAATTCCTCCAAGGGGAGAGGATTGCTGGGGAGGCCGGCCACCACAAAGTAGTCCACCACCCTCTTTTCATCCATGGTTCTGGGAAAGAAAAGCATGTGAAAAATAAATAATCGCCGCAATTAAAAAAAAATTCACTACATCTTCCAAAAGACAGGATATGTACTAGAACATAACCTGAAACAAGAGTGAGTATGGGTTTTGGTTGTTTTGGGCCATATTCTAGCAATATGATGTCAGGGGACAGCAGAAATGGGCTTCACAAACTGTAGGGGAATCAACACAGGTATTCAGTATGACAAACAAATGTTTTGTCCACTAGCCCACCTCTGTGCTAATAACCTAAATGACTTGATCACTTTGAAATTGTTGCTTTTCAAGGATGCATGACATTAAAACTTTGGGGTTCGGTAACCGTCAAGCAAGGAGTTCTATCCTGACTTTGGCATTATTAGCTTTGTCTACTTAAAACAATCAGGATGACAGACATTGTGATGATCTGAACCCAAACATACCACTAATGATGGAAGCTGATGATCTGCACCCAAACATACCACTAATGATGGAAGCTGATGATCTGCACCCAAACATACCACTAATGATGGAAGCTGATGATCACACTAATGATGGAAGCTGATGATCTGCACCCAAACCTACCACTAAGCTGATGATCTGGAAGCTGATGATCTGCACCCAAACCTACCACTAATGATGCACCCAAACCTACCACTAATGCTGGATGATCTGCACCCAAACCTACCACTAATGATGGAAGCTGATGATCTGCACCCAAACATACCACTAATGATGGAAGCTGATGATCTGCACCCAAACATACCACTAATGATGGAAGCTGATGATCTGCACCCAAACATACCACTAATGATGGAAGCTGATGATCTGCACCCAAACATACCACTAACTGGAAGCTGATGATCTGACCACTAATGATGGAAGCTGATGATCTGCACCCAAACATACCACTAATGATGGAAGCTGATGATCTGCACCCAAACCTACCACTAATGATGGAAGCTGATGATCTGCACCCAAACATACCACTAATGATGGAAGCTGATGATCTGCACCCAAACCTACCACTAATGATGGAAGCTGATGATCTGCACCCAAACCTACCACTAATGATGGAAGCTGATGATCTGCACCCAAACATACCACTAATGATGGAAGCATATGACATTTTTGACAAACCAATGTCAAGTGCACAAAGGCTAGAGGAGGAAGGACATCAGGTGCTGCAGTGGACTAATTGGTTCTATTTCCATAACTTCCAAACAAAATACAAAAGATTAATCTTCAAATACATTTTGAGGGAATCAAAATGTCATCATATTCATCAAATGAAAATATTAGTTCCGTAATTTCAAAGCCACTCTCAATAAGGTTATGTATTTAAAAGTATTTTAAACTAACCACTGAAAATTTTATTGATGTAAGTTGACAGGATTTCCGTGCATGTTTCCGACAGATTCAATGAGGAAACAATTAGTCATTGAGTGCAGAAAGAAACAGCATACAAGTTGTCCTTCATTATTACCAAATTTAATAGATGACAAGAGGACACGTATTGAAATATTTGTCACCAGCTCCTGTATAAAGCACATCCCCATGTTATTAAAAAATAACATGGCAAAATAGCTCACCTGACAAAAGGATCTTCAAAGCAACATCAAAACACTGTTTGTGGTTTAACATGTTTAATGGAACACTTAGCAATATTCCAGCTATGTGGCAGCGGTTTGTAAATAATCTAGTGTGGACCAGACAATCCAGTGATTAACAGTATGAGCGTCGATCTATGCAGCTGACATATGATGACATGTGTCAACCAAGTCAGCAAGCCAGACGACCTCAACCCATGAGTCGCCTCTTACAAGCATGTGGTGCTGAAGAATTCACATATTTTCATGGGTGATCTCAACACTGACAGTTCATACTATTACTAAAGGGAAGGAAGATGAAGTCTTGCTTTGATGCTGGTTGAATAACCCATCTTGTGAAAGGATGTTGTGATTAGACTTAAAAATAGCATGTACCCACCAACAGCGAATCATGTGTAAGCCTCAGTCATGTATAACCTCATACACAAAAGAAACACCTTATCTGATGCATACGGATTTGTTGAACACACGCGACCTTCCACAAGGTTTTGTTAGACTCAGTATAGCAGTGTAACAAGTAATACTGAACCTAAGTTTACTTAGACTGACACATGATGAAACAATGCAATACATATTACAATGCTTCAATGCTGCAATACAATGCTTTCACAGCATCAAAACAATAACTGGATAATTGTGCAACAAGTTGAATACAAACTGAATCTTCAATGAAAATAAAACAATAGACCTTTCTTTAACCCATGATTCAGATGCAGAACCTGTGGAAAATAGTCTGATTCTTTTAGGGCCATGCCATTACAGTAAAGACAGGGGGGGGGAAGAGTAGAGAGAAAAATTAATAATGGTTCAATGACTGTTAGACCAATAGCCCCTGAATATCAACAGGCATGATTCATTGCCACTATCAGAACCAGGCCATTAAACATTGAGACATAAGTACATAAAACCACTGAACACATTTGATTTGAGCCAGATAAGTACTTAACAAGTTTCAGGTCAGGGCTTCAGTAACGTCCTCTTTATAATAGCTCTTTGCAGTTATGTGTGAACTTAATGCTTCTACACTTCCTGATGTTTTGTCCAACTTATTGCTCAAATGTTCATAATGCTCTCATGATTAAGTTGCACACATCACTGGGCATATTGCATATTTGTTTAGCAAGTCAGAGACGGCTCTTTGTAAGTTACAATGTTAATCTTGGCTTAATCCTAGCATATGATGCAGCACTCTTTGTCTTGAAACAATTTCAACCAACAAAGTGTAGTAACAGCTTTTCCTTCCTTTCCAGAGAGCTGATGTTTGCTGTAAATCCACGATAAATAGTTACTTAAATTCCCAATATGGGCTTCAACATTTCCCAATAGTACTGTTACTTGCATCCCAAATACACTTCAAAATGTTTGTGTGGTGAATTTCAATAAATAAACCCATCGGCCAAGAAAAACATTAAGAAAATTGGTCATTAGCTCACAAATATGTGGAAATAACCCCACAAGTTCCATCATCAGGTAATCATGAAAAGGTAGCCTGTTAAAGCCATGCCTAATTCTTTTTCTGTTTGTTTTTATGAACACAAAATAAAGCTTGTTTTATAGCCCATAAAATGCCACAGATTCTACAGGTTCTACACTGAGTGTACTATCACATAAATGCAATATACAAACTATAGCACTATACACTGAGCCTACCAGCACATAAATGCACTATACACACTAGAGTGGGATACACTGTTATACACTGAGCATACCAGCACATAAATGCACTAAACAAACTATAGTGCTATACACTGTTATACACTGAGCCTACCATCACATAAATGCACTATACAAACTATAGCGCTATACACTGTTATACACTGAGCCCACAATCACATAAATGCACTATACAAACTATAGTGCTATACACTGTTATACACTGAGCCTACCATCACATAAATGCACTATACAAACTATAGTGCTATACACTGTTATACACTGAGCCTACCATCACATAAATGCACTATACAAACTATAGGGCTATACACTGTTATACACTGAGCCTACCATCACATAAATGCACTATACAAACTATAGCGCTATACACTGTTATACACTGAGCCTACCATCACATAAATGCACTAAACAAACTATAGTGCTATACACTGTTATACACTGAGCCTACACATAAATGCACATAACTATGCTATACACTGTTATACACTGAGCCTACCATCACATAAATGCACTAAACAAACTATAGTGCTATACACTGTTATACACTGAGCCTACCATCACATAAATGCACTTTACAAACTATAGTGCTATACACTGTTATACACTGAGCCTACAATCACATAAATGCACTATACAAACTATAGTGCTATACACTGTTATACACTGAGCCTACAATCACATAAATGCACTATACAAACTATAGTGCTATATACACTATAGCCTACCATGTTATACACTGAGCCTACCATCACATAAATGCACTATACAAACTATAGTGCTATACACTGTTATACACTGAGCCTACCATCACATAAATGCACTATACAAACTATAGCGCTATACACTGTTATACACTGAGCCCACAATCACATACATACATTATAATGTCACTCTAAAATCACAATGATGAATTATGAAATTCAAACCCACTATCAAGGAAGCACTTCAGCTGAAATGATTTGCAGTGAATTGAACAACTGCTCCCAAAATCTACCGTGACATGGAAAGCATTTCAATGGGATCATTGAGTAGTTGTGGTAACTGTTGAGCAGTGAACATGAAGTCTAAAGGTCATTTGGACAGCCATTAGCCGACACAGTGGCAGCGCTAGGTATGGTGTTGCATTTCTGGCATAACAGTTGTCAGGAAACTCAACTAAAGCTGACGTTTTTCCTTCTCATCACAGTTATTGCTACATTTTCATGACAAATTTAGACTTTCAAACCACAAATATATTTTGAAAAATGTTTAGTCCTTGTGAATGATGGGCACTTTTTCCATAAACAAAGTATTTGAGAGATGAATTGTGTAACAGGAAGTGAGTGAGAGGTTTAGTTTTACACCAATATTCCAGCAATATTACGGCGGGGGACACCAGAAATGGGCTTCACACATTGTGCCCATGTGGGGAATTGAACCCGGGTCCTTGGCGTGAGGAGCCAACGCCTTAACCACTAGGCTACCCTACTGCCCCCTAACAGGAAGTGATGATCATGATCTACACAACTGAGATACCTTGACATGGATCAATCTATTTACTGAGTCTGAAAACGTGATCTTCTTAGTTGCCACTTCGGCAAGAATGGGTTGCTGAAGATCACCCAGATCTTCGGGGGTTTGTTTGAATGACTTGATACAGATGTCTCCTCAGCTTCAGGGGCGGTGGGGTAGCCCTAATGGCTAAAGCGCCCGCTTGTCACACCGAAGACCACTGGGTTCGATTCC